TCTCTCTCTCTCTCTCTCTCTCTCTCTCTCTCTCTCTCTCTCTCTCTGTATTTCTTTGCGTCTCTTCGTGCTCTGACGTTTGCTGCGAAAACATCGCGTGTGATTTGCAAAGTTCAGTCGAACGGACTCTCCACCGATGTTTATTGAATAGCATCCAACAGAACGTTCGGCCAAACTGAATGAATAAATGAAAAGGATGACAATTGTTTTCCATTTTAAAGATGCATTTGCACCAAACAATTTTCCCATCGGACACCAGCGCACGCAACGTGATTGAATTATTGGCTTTGGTGAATTTGTCTCTCGCTTATTTATCTTTCGGCATAAGTGATTGCGAACCATTTACTACCAGTTTCATTTTACATCGCGGATATATAGCAAAGAAAAACCGTGTACGCCAAGTTATTAGATATTCTTCTCGCGATGATAAACAAAAAAACAAGAGACAATTTTTCGGAACTTAACCATTCGATTTTGCTCAAAATGGCTAAACCCCGATTTTCAACTGTAAAACCTTATGAATCGACTCATTGCTTGAATTTAAACTATGCTCGCAAAACAACCTGCGTGTCAAGATGCTCTATCCCCATTAAATAATTACGAATCGGCTATTTTTCACCAGTTTAGCTCGGAATTATTTACCCAAGCACCGATTCCGTTTTCAATTTAGCCAAATTCTTCAATTGATTTAGCTCAACCTAATTATGTATTCAGAGTGCATATTTTACGAATTATTTTGTTTTAAAGTTATTGGATCAGTGAATTATATCCGCGCTTACCTTACTGTGCACAATGTTTTCTGAATAAGTGACAATATAACCGTTAGAAGAGCTAAAGAAGCACATTTTACTACTTCGAATCAATGTGCAATATCAGTTTTGCGTAGAAAATATGTGTTGAGCAACAATGTCTTTATATTTGGTGAACGTTCCTTGGTGAATCAATACAAATTCATCGAAGATATCAAAAAAATAATATCTAGCATATAATTACAGCAGATTCTATACATCACATTGTATGGAATGTGTGAAAATTCAATTGAAAATAAACATGCAAACCGTTGCTTTTGCGCGCCTCAATAGCACAACCGATATCCATTAATATTTGTTATTTCTTGGTTTGCCGCACCAGATATACCAAATCACCGCACAAAAAAGTGGTTTCGCTGCGCCAGCACATTTTCACAAGCATTTGAATGTGGCATCGGATTAAAAAGCGAAAATTAATGCAGACGCACATAGTATTTGATTGAATTTGATTATGAGCTGATTATTATCCCAAAACCAGCGAAAGCATGTTTTGATTCTTTTTTCATTGTTCCTGTTCACAGTTTGAAGCGGAAAAATAATCAAATTAATAGGGTTTTTTGACGATGCGCAATTGATTCGGGTGCGATTCATTCAGGCTTTTTGTGGTCAAACTGCATATTAAAAATGACACCTGAACGAAAAGTAATTCCATTTGATTGCTTGAACAAATACATGTGATAATCCACAATTCGAATCGAAACAAACATTTGCGTTTGGAATTATTTCGATTGTTTTTTACAAATGCATCTCATTCGGCGTCAATTAAAATGCGTCAATATTTGCCATTCAGCGCTTTATTAGATATTCATAAATCAATTGAATTTAAAGCTGCTTCGTATTTACGCAAGCCGATTTTTTTCATGACATTCATTTAAATATTCATTCCATTTATGGTGAATGCAATGAATTGAGTAGGGTAAATCTTCTTTCACAAAAAAACATACATTGAATACAGTCCAGCGCTGCGAATAAATGCACCAACAAGAGTTGGAGTTCATATTTTTCCTGCATTAAAGCTGCTGAGGAGGAGCATTTATACGTTGTTCACGAAACCGAATCAAACTGAAAATCAATTGAAATATACAACAAATATTTAAATTTAAGCTATTGATTTGAATATTTAGTTCCAGATGTTCATTATGCTTTGTTACCAACCAAATTTGATGAATTTCATTGCTATTCTAGGTTGTAATGCACAGAAAAGGGAGCAGGAAGATCCGTGCAAAACAAAAGCCCGTGTCGTTGGTGATGTGACCTATTGCGATCGATACTGGGAATGCGGCAGTGACAATCAACCAGAATTATATGATTGTCCAAATGGCTTAGTTTTTGCTGGTAAACATCGGGGAGTCACCGAAGGATGCGATTATCCGTGGCGTTCCGATTACTGCGATGGCAAACAATTAGCAAGTAAGTTGAATATACTCATATATTCATATGTTGACATATATGTCAAATTGAAATGTTCACATCAAGATTAATCTAATGTTGAATTCAATGATTCTGTGACAGATGGCCCAGTTCAGACAGATCACTGCGATTGGTTGTATGGAATTTTCGGGCATGAAACCTCTTGCACGCGCTACTGGACTTGCTGGAATGGAACAGCTACCGAGCAACTGTGTATCGGTGGTCTTCTTTACAACGAAAACGCCCATTCATGCGACTGGCCCGAGAATGTCGACGGATGCCAAAAACATCGTAAGCAAAACAAATTACCCATCGTAAAAAGGTGTTTTTTTAAAAACAATTTTTTTATTCGTTCAATCATGTTAGCTTTGTGCAATGACGACGCAAATGGAAATGTTCCACTCGGAAAGAGCTGCAATAGGTATTGGCAGTGTCAAGGTGTGTATTTTATATATGTGTACCTCAATTAATGATATATCGATGGATCTTCAATTATGATTATTTATTATTCGTTTAATAGGTGGTTATCCTCGTTTACAACGTTGCCCAGCAATGCTTGTTTTCGATCGCAGATCATCGCGATGCGTAGTTCCACCAACTGAAGACTGTGACATACCAACTTCAACTCCATCGCCCGATGGCGGTGATTTACAGGAAAATGTGCCATTGCCAAGCCGAGGCAATGATAATGCCGGATCTCACGACCATCAAAGGCAACTCGAAGAAGTTGACAACGACGGTGTCGTACCGCATCTATTGATAAACACGTTCAGACATAGAAAACCTTAAACAGTATTCAAGCGCACTGTTTTGCACACAGCAATGCAACAAAACACATTTTAAATTTTAAATTCCATTCTTCATTTTATTCTTTTCTCTACTAATATGTTTTTCAAACTAATTGAAAATATGCCTAAAATCATGATTTACTACATATTAAATGTAAACAAAAAAAAATCCAAATCGAAATAAACTTAATTGTTTCATTTTCGTAACTAAGAATTCAATTTAGTTACGTAAAAACCTTCCCAATCATTTCACACTTCTACTCCCCGATCCTTCGATCAATAGAAAAGATAAAACAACTGAAATAGAGTTAGGTTATCAAAATGATTCGAATTATTTATTATGAATTGTTCAAAAAAAAAAATTACCTCATTACTATTCTGTTTGCCACAAACCATGGCTTGATAAGCAACTTCAATGGGATCTTTGATTTTGCTCAGACGTTTTGTGCAACCCCTGATCAATATCATGTATTTGTCCTGTTCTTCTTTTGTCATTCTGTCCATGAGTTCAAAAAAGTCTGTGGGATCGACAACGACACTGCCCGGCTTCATAACGCCCAGTTCAACCCAGAAGCAGTTGAAGTAGCATCTCAAGCTCTTGCTGTTTGGTAAGTTTTTCATGTCGGTTGTAAGTTCAAATTCTTTTACCTCTTCCATATTTGGGTTGCATTGATGTGAGCATCTGCTAACTAAACCAGGAACATCGTAGTGCTGATAGACAACTGCAGGTGGCCACTAAAGAGAGTCACTTTTTTAGCACGCACAAAAAGTTTTATAAAAGTAAAATTAGTCACAGATACAAACGTTTTCCGTTTTCCATGAATTCACAGCAACTGACAGAGCCGACAAACAAAAAATGAAAGGAAACCAAACAAAATGCATTTTATGTATTTCAAGTAAAAACAATACTGCTTCCATACAAGTTGCAGCTGTATGAAATGTCGATGGTTTTTATAGGCAAACAATTGCAATGTTCTGTGGGCAGTTCAGTTCAAATCAATTTTAATTGCCAGTTTTTTTTCTTCAATAATGCTTTTCATTGAAGAAGAAAATGATAATTCGCTGTATTTTTGACATGTTAATCGTCTTGTTAAAGTGCTTACCAAAATGTCACATTGCGTTTAAATCGAATGAATTGTAATTAAAAGATACACGGGTGATTGACAGTTCAGACATACGAATGACTTTATTTCAAATCCATTCATTCATTTCGTAAATAAATGATGGAGATTTACAGGAAGTATTGAATGGTTGCGAACAAAATGCCTATACTCTTTTGAATGATTATACCAGCAGTGAAATCATGTCAGAATTAATTCATATTTCACAGTGAATGTAATGATATCAAAATGAACATTGAATAATTTCAAAGGAATCCCTATATTTATGGACGCATCAAAAAATATCGACCCACCAACAATAATTACTGTGTAAATATTTGTTCGAAATCAAAAGAGTGCAAATAAGCCGTCCGATTCAGACTCATTGAAATGAAGCGGTGAGTATACAGTAACCACAGTGAATAAACACAAACAACAACGCGTTTATTCAATCAGCATAATGGTTGGCTCTGTGTAGTGTTTCATATTCTTTCATAAATATTAAATTTTACTCTGTTCCAAGACCATTTCACAAAACTTCGGTGGCATCATTTTGATAAAGAATTTTGGTTTGCATTCGTTAAAAATGTTCTTGACATTCTGTCATTGACGACAGCACAGAGCACACACACTAACAATTTATCAAAACAAACACAACGGAAACGCAATGAAACAAACACGAAGAGAGTGTAAATAAGAAAGACAGAAGAAAATAATTTGTTATGGCCAGTTTTATGTGTGGAGTTAATCAATGAGATCATTTTGTAATACATAAACAATACAACCAAACACTTGAAATTTTATCAGTGCGTAAAGCGAGATGCTAAAGTGGGACGGCAATATTTGCTCAGTTCGTAATTTTGTAATCAAAAAGTACTTCGAGAGCGTTAAACAGTAATTATGTGATGTGCCGATTGTGACCGTAATACAGAAATGTCAGTTTATGAATTGCACTCGGCACGACTAAACGTCAAAAGTGAACTCATTTTTACAGTTCAGAAAACAGATCAATTCCGTGCAGTTGACATACAGATTTGTTGATTTGTAACAGAAAAAAAAACGCATCTAGCTCCAGTTTTTATTGTGCGGTCAGTGTTCAACAAATGAGTAGTATTTTCTGTGTAGTGTAAATTTTGGATATCTTCTCTTTCATTATTGTAGTTAAACATCGTTCGGTTCGTTTATTTATTCACTGAATTTGGTTTGATTCGTTAGTTAGCTAATTCAGAGAAGTTTGTAATTAGATCTCTTTGTGCGAATGTTTCAAGCAAACAGAACTAATGGCTATTGAAACTACTGACGATTCATGTGCTCCTTTGGCAATAAAATTTCAATTAAATGGCATCCGGGGAATAAATACCGACAGATAAGTGCATGTCTTGCAGTGCTCCAGCATGAAATCGGCATTTTTATTTTTGACTCATTAAAATGGAAACGAAAACTATTTCGTACCAATTGGATTTTTAATTACTTGAGCTGTTCGGATTCTTTTAGTTTTGTTAATTAAAACTTCACACATCACGCGGAAAAAGTCGTTCGTCTGGAATGAAACAATTCCTTTTTTTTTTCGAGTGGCACAATTTGAATTGACAAACGAAAAAATGCAGTGAAATTTCGAGTGGATGCGTTTTTCTGTGTTTTCATTTTGTGCACTGCTGTTTCGAATTAGCATTTTTTGTGGGTATATATATATGTGTGTGGCCAAATCGAATAATCGATGCATATAGCTAATTTTTTTTTGTCTCGGTCCAGAGCTCATCGTGTTCTTTGATGCGGAAATTTCTTCTTGTCTGTCTATACTGATATCGCTTATCTGGTGTGCAATCGAAAGAAATTAATTTTTATCAGTGGTTCTCTCATTTGAATGCCATTTCAGTCATAAAATGGAATTGGTTTTTCAAAAACGTGCACACAATGGATGGAGTGCAATCGAATATTTTCAATTATGGATCTTTTCTTTTCGATTGCACAGTATATTCGAAAATAGTTTGGGTTTTGAAGGAGGCCAAACACTACTCGTGCTCGCATTTCGTTGTTAATCCCGTTGCAATCATTTGCACAACTTTCAAAGAGGGTAATTGCTGTTGATGACGCGAACTCTGTCGCCTCGCCGATTTGTTATTACAAAGAGTTGTGCGTTAAATGCAATACCATCCCCTCGACATAAAATGTTCATCTAATTTCCACTTGTTATTGTCATTTATCCGATGGCGCCTAACCCGTCGCTACTTTTTTTCTTCTCTTTATTCTTCTTTTTCCACTCATTTAAAATTGAAAAGTTCAGGAAAAATGCAGAGCAGTTTTGAAACAAAGAAAAAAACGAACGCACGACAGAGACATGGAAGAATTTAATTGAATGTCGACTGCAGACAAGTTTACCGCATCATTTTATCATCGCAAAAACTATCGAAACCATTTCCATAAGTTTTTTATCGACGGCAAATGGGGAAAATAATTCAATTATAAAGAAGAGATAAAACAAAGCCGTTTCCATGGAAAACTATTACGCCGTTCCGCATATCCCAAACCATCAAATAATGCATTTGATCGGTGAATTAAAACCAGAAATACGGCAAGAACAACAGCGAAAAATCACAGCGACACATGGACAGATTTCAAAATGTTCAACTTTTGAGCGTTCATATGACCGTGACATTGTCAGTTTTATTTTGGATTATAGAATGAAGTGGCACAATCGCCGAAAGATAAATATCATAAAAGTGGATGATAAATTGATGCGCAGGAAAGTCACTCTTATTTTTGCTTGGAGTTCATCTGTGTCCAATTTCTAGGCTTCATTGGTTTGTTTATTCAGTTTTGGAGCAAAGAACTGTAAACTTTAGCCAACTGAAGAATTCCGATAGGAAATGTTGTTGAAATAGAAGAGTATTTCTTCGATTCACGATGTTGCCACGAGAATTTTGTGGGTATTAGAAGATGCTTCGTAAAGTTTCAACATCGAACGCATAGATGGCGTGGGTAACAAAAAATTGATAATCAACGGGAGCAAGTTCACGAGAAAACTCAAGGAAAAGTGTTTGTCAGCTTTGGTGTCATCGAAATGCCACATTTTAAAGATTTTTGAATAAATTTTTATTAGGTGTTTATGTGTCCCTAGTTTCAAAAATGTGATGTTCATGTGTTATGTACTTTGCTTATTACATGCAGAAAAAAAATGGAATTTTATGTGGAGAACACATTAGGATATTCAACTTGAGACACATTACCTTTTTTATATCGTTTTTCATTTTCGTGGTTAAAGCCTTTGTTGAATGTTACATTATGAGGATGAAAATCCCTTAAGAATCAGAATTGCTCAAAAGCCAGGAAAAGTGAGAGAAAAAAAAACCGAAAACTCAAAGTGAAATGAACATTGGAAATGTACCAAAACAGCCGAATTTTCAATTTCAGATAACGACACAAACCTGTTATTGTCAATCGCTCGAAACAAATCCAAGAACGAGTTTTGGGACTGCGCGCGACCATGAATTTTGATATCTGAAGTGGTTTTTATCACTAAGTCTCCCATCAAGTCAAAAGTGACATTATTTTGATGATAACGATTACAACCTCAATATCATTGCATAAACATTCAAACAGACCCAAAAACACCTTTCAATGACACCGCATACAACAGCACTCAAAATATCAAGACTATCGATTTATAATTTATGGGCAAACTTTTGACCCGTTGCGCTTATTCTCGTCATTGTCAGCGGCGTCAATAGAGTTTCGCTCTTGATACTCCTTATCGCCGCAATGTGACAGCAAATGTTTTTCAATAAAGATTAAAATGCAAATGCGGCTGAACGCTTTTGAAAACTGTTGTCTTATCAGTGAATAGAAAATACTCATCTCGGCATTGTCGTATTTCGGGTTTAATCAATGATCAACAACAACAACAACACAATCCATCGAAGTGTCATGTTATCATCAGTAGTGACATGATGCGGATAGTTCGCCGAAGGCGAATGTCATACATAAAACGAACAAATCACCTTTCAGTCAACGCAACTGCTGGCAGTGAATAACATCAATATGAACTACACGCTTCAGTGCAAATTACGTTTACATGTTCCAACTCGGTATGTCAAATAAACAGGATGCAATTTGCGATTGACGTAAACACACATCAGAACTCTATCCAAAGTTATCTTTTCTCTGCCATAAGTTTATATAAAATCAGAAAGCATTTGCTTTAATTATATGTGCGCGTTTTTCGTAAGGACTTTCAACAATCCACACTCACATAAGTATCACAATGTGAATATTATTCGGATTTCACGTAGCTGTTCATATTTACATATTTTCATGGAAATATTTCGACTGAAAATAATAATAATGAACGATTGCTTGAATGTGCCCAGTCACACAAAGTAACATAATTATCTTGCGCTTCGCTGTAATTGTATCGGTGTAAAACCCTTGACGATGTTGTTTAATTTTTTATGTAGATATCTTGTGTTGGTTTGTGTTTAAGATGACTTTTTACTTGCCGCATCACGTCGTGCGGTTGTAGTTTGCTGTTCATTTTGATATTTATGTACGCTAAACTTCGGGATGATTCACCGTTTTCATAATAATTTCCGCATGCTTCACTTTCAGAGAATAATTCATCTCAATTCGAAGATGATGCCTAGAAATTGCAATTTCTCATCTCAAAAACTCACTCTGTGTGTGTGGTTAGGTTTTTGCACATGCAACTTTTTGCATAAAACTTTTTTAATCGCAACAAATTGCACACGAAACGAACTATGTGCCAGTTAATTTATGTTAAAATTGGAAAATGTTGGATGTTGACGCAGAAAAATCAAAAAAATTAAGTACAACCAAATAACAAGCCAATACGTTTTATTCGCTCAGTGACACATTCGAAATGATTGAGTTGAAAATCAAAAGTTTGAAGCATCAATTTTAAGCGACATATGATGTAATTTGAAGCTGGACACGAATTCAAGGCTTGAGATTTATTTTTCGATTCAATTCGCACTTGCCTGAGTGCTTGTGAACTATTTGCAAGCGAAAACCTGTTGTTTTGCCGTATGATTATAGCTTTATGGTGTGTGTATCTAATTTCACTTGCCAACTTCCAACTTTTCTGGCATTTTAGTTACTTTAACAAATACCGACACAAATAGTTTCACAAAAACTTTGTTTGTTTGAAATTTTGTAGTATTTGTTGAGATGTATCAAATGCACTTTTCGTGCAGTCATAAAACAAACGAAACATCATTTATCCACTTTCTCGATGCTCGGCTCTAAATCACAAACTGATTTGCGTCCACGAACATATCACCCGAAATTTCTGTCATAATTTATATACACGCGTCAGAGAAATGTACGACAAAATTATGATAATTGGATGACTCGATGGCAGCATTTCACAATCGTGCGATGGCTGCATTTTAGTTGAATAATAAACACCAACCACCACCACCTCCACATGCATGCATGTACATAAAAATATCTCTGCAAAACTTATAACGACACGAACTTTTATTTAAATCATTTCATCCCTCACCCCCTCAAAAAAAAAATGCATTCCACAATAGTTTTCGGAGTTGGTCTTTTATCTTTTGATGTTTCGCTTTTAACCTCTTGCGAAATTTAACCAATTTGTTTACTACAGTCACACCACATTCAGTTCACGCAGCAGCCACAATGGCAGCGGCAAAAGCACAGCGTGATAAAGGTAATTGTAGGTTTTCGTACCTGCGGAATAAAAGAGAGTGAAAAACTCGATGCAAACGACTGTTTGAGTTTTCGTGATTCAGATAAAATGTTGTGCATTACAAACTCGACTTTTCTCACTTTTCCAAAGTTTTGGGTGAAGTGAAGCCGAACATTGCCAGTGAATTTGGAAAAAGCAACAGTAAAAGCAACAATCCAAAAGTTTTAGATTCATTGCAGCTTAAAATTAACTACCTACAATTTGATATAGAAAATAATTGTTTCTTTTCGGTTTGTCCTTTTGCAGTTCGCCATTTGCCGAATAATGTTGTCATTTCGGGGATATTTCACAATTCCTTCCTATTTTGGATTGCTATCCCAAATATAATTTATATGAGAATTTCTGTTGTAAATTTGAACAGCACACATGAGTTCATTTTCACACAAGTGTGCTGCTAACAATTGCCAGAAATGCATTTGTGCAACTGAATAAAATACAATTTTCAAGTTTCTATGGTAAATTTGACACATTTATTTGTTGTTGTGAACTCAGATTTCAATTTCATTTCATTTCCTGCACAAGGTGGCAGACAGTTCAAACAATTATTCGTAACTTGAAATCATTTTCACCTGCAAGCATCGAAATAGTTGTACCCATTTCCCGGAAGAATCCCCGAAAATCGGCTTTCAAAACAAATTTTCTTTGATTTTGTGGAAATTCTCACATTTTCGTCAGCTCACTCAAAGCATCACTGAACTGAATAACGAAAATATTTCAACGGTGATGGCAACCACCATGAATGCACTCAAAGCAAATAGTTGTAGTTTTTCTTATCTGAGGGGATTAGGTGATATTATGTTCTCGCAATGGCCAGACCTCCGAATTGTTTGCATTTTAATACAAAGTAAATTCTAACGCTCAACTCTCAAGTACATCGTCGACAGCATTCCATTCCATATTTAAGACAAGCGGCCTTAGAGAGAGCCATACTCTTGAAAGACTTTAACATTTTAACAAGATAACGAAGTATATGAGAGATAATCATACAATGTTAGTCTTCTTTTTACAGCAAAAATCTCGAGCTTAGTCAATGTTATTTCGAAATTTCCGCTAGACACTTGCACAGAAAATGAAAGGGAAAATATTGAAACATGAGAAAGAATCACAGAATCTGGAAAATATGAAAACCATGAGAGAAAGAAAATTCGGACGAGAATACTCAACCATCACAGCTTTGCACCGTTCGGAAATGTGATATATCAACCAAAGACTGAAATGATTTCCTATTTCGAGCGTCGTTGTTTGCTTTCTTCCTTGTTTGCTCACTATATTAATTGTCATGCATTTTCTCCACTTGAAATGTTTTGATGCAGGACTTTAATTGCATTCTCTGTTCATTACAGGTTATTTGTTGGTGTTGTGAAGGAATAGAAATAATACTCCAAGCCGGGATCACACCAGACAACTGATATAAAATTCAATACGACTACGAGCATCACAATGTCATCAGAAAGTGGATCGACAGCTATGGCGAATGTCATGTTAACGGATCCGGTGCCAGCGTTTGACACAATTTACGAAGATGCAATCAAAACTTTTCGTGACACATTCGATGCGCAACCAGATGTGGCCGTCTGTGCTCCAGGACGTGTTAATTTAATTGGTGAACATATCGATTACAACGACGGTTTCGTACTTCCAATGGTAGGGTCTCACGTATTTCTCGCATTCTTTCAACATTCTCGTCTCATGTCACTCAATGTCTTGGCTCGTTGATACTTTCATTTTTAATGGCGGTTTTGCTTGTTGTTAGCTGATGCACTTCGAAAACTGGGCGCATTTGCACGAAAAGGTTTTCAGTTTGCTACGAACGTGTCTTACTTTCGTCCAACACATGCAACATTGTACAAAGAAACTTCTGTCTCGATCGACGTTTGAAACGCGTTGCTTACGAGAATGGCAAAGCATCGCACTATTTCCGCGTTGCATGATGCTGATAATCGATGTCACTTATCGGATACATGATTCGATGCTCTTCTTTCAAAATAAATAGCGCTTACACTGTAATGATATATCCAATTTTCATTTACCCGGGTCTAACTCATCACACTGGATTAAATTACACAAAAGTTTTACAAACGAAAAAGACCACAACAGCACACAAAAACACCATCATCACCACCACCAGTAATGTTTCCGATGTGGCTTTCACTGAAGTGCACACAAATTTTGTCACTTCGTAGTATTTTTCTTTCTCTCGCCGTTGGAAGTTGGTAAACATTCGGTGTCTGTCAGCAACTGATAGCAAAGAAAAACAATGAAGCTGCGTCGGCTACGAGAAGAGCACTCGAGATGCATGTCAAATCCAATTCAATTTGCAAAGTTCTCATAAATTTTGTGGTCCGTAGACGAAGTTCAAAGTAGTATTCTTCGTGCATCGCCGAATCTTATTAGGGACTCCAATGTAGCAGCAACAAAAGCGTACACATAATTTTATTCATCCGTACATTTTGTTCCGATAACCATATCGATAGTGGTTGCAAGTAATTGGCTAATAGTTTTAATACCTTTCGCTTCAGTAATTTTACCACCATTTGACTTTTCAATCGTTTTTACATTCCATTTACAGGCACTGCCGATGGTTACGATTATTGTGGGGAAACGCAACCAAACTAAATCCACGGCAAATGTTGTTACCTGCTGTGACGGAGCCGACGACCCGACAACCGTTTCATTCGATTTGAACAACCTCACGGTCGGAACGCCAAAGTAAGTTTTTCTTCCCCTACCCCTGCACATTTTCCCCTCTCGAAAACATTTTTAATTAGTTTTAATTGCAAAATTACAATCGATGTTTCATTACTTTCACATGGCAATGGATCGTTGAGTTGAAAATCGATACAGCAAACTCAATTAATCGGGCATATTGCATTAATTCAGATTGCACCGTTGAAAGTTATGAGAATCCTTGAAAATTACATTAACTCAACTAATTAAATCAATTCATGTGAAGCATTCCGTGCGATTTTTGCCCCCTCAATAATGGAAAATTAAATAACTTGACGCCCGATCGCAGCGAAAAGTACTTGCAATTTTTTTACATCGATGAAGCCTTTCTATCGCATTTCTCAAAGGAAAACAATTTTATTTTTACACAAAGTAAGATATTGTTTTTTTTTCTTTTTTCAAAAACTTTCATGTGTTGTGAATGTTCACGTAGCTTCTGCCATTTTGAACGAATCGCATCGAAAAGCACTTGAAGCGTTCACCATATCACGATGCTTTTATTCGTGCTAGTCACAATAAAAAATTTTATGAGTGAAATAAACAAAGCAAAACAAAACCTATTGCCTCTTGCATGAGGAGATAAGTTTTCAAAAGTACTACAAATGTGTAGCTGTGTTACCTGTGCTGCGAAATGAAGAAAAAAGACACCAGAAGTGCACTAAAATGGAAGTACTCAATAAATCTCAACACAAATAGACGGAAGCAGGGAATAAACGAATCATTTTATATCCACCATTGCAAACAAATTGCAACTAGCTACTTTTTCTTCCATGAGTGCAAGCACTGGAGAAAGAAGAGAAAATCGATCGCATTTTTATGCTAAAATATTTCAAAAAGTAAATCTAGTGAAAGATATTTGGCTCGAGTCGAGAACAACGGCAACAAAACGTACACATAATCATTCTTTATCCAATTCACTTGAAGATAAAATCAAAATTATCTGGTGAAAAAAAAAACATGTACGAGAACACAGAGCAACCATTAAATATAAACCGTATATTGTAAGCGGATCAATTCGATAAAATTATACAAAGTTTTTAAAAAAAAAGTGAATGCAAAAAAGCGACCACAAAATGAAACGACGGATCGTTTGTTTCACAAGATGCAATTTTAAAATCAGTTTACCGATAAGGAGGCCAGAAGTGGGAGCACAACGCACAAAGGAGATTGACCAGGGAAAATGAACAATAGTCAACTGCGGTCCATTATTTATTGTGTCAGGTCTTTTTGTTTGCGCATCTCCTGCACAAAAGATGACTTTCGAGTTCATGAAACCCATTTCTTGCTCATGCCAAAAATAACAAAATTTTGCCAACGGTGGGCACGAATCTGCAAAACCAAAGTTCCGGCCAACACTGCTGTCGTAATAACCATTTTTTTCTTGGTTTGCACAAACGGCGGCTCAACAAAACAACGTTTTTTACATTGCTGTGGCGTAATAAAAATGGTACATAATATCACTCTATAAATGTGTAATGCAGCGTGTTTATTTGTTTGTTTGTTCCTTCTTGTCTAGAGCTGTTGGTTTGGTTGAGTGGACGAAGAAGAAATGGGTTTCGCATCGTTTTTTGACATTCAAATTATTACGCTTGCGATAAGATTGGTAAACAAACTTATTTCATTGGCTGGTGTAGCCGAAAAAAATCTCATATGAAATCTTATTGCTTAGTTCTTTTTTTTTGCTAAATGAAAACTGCACAAACTCATTTATTTAACAACACAGTTTTTATTGAAATTGAACCGACCTGTATAACGAATTGTAATTTGAAATAAGCTCTCAACTATTTGATAGCCCATCTGTTGTGTCGCCCTTCACAATCAATTTTCAAAAGTCTCTGCGCCGAATTTTCCCCCAAACGAACTCCGCAATCACATGAGCTCTGAATTGATTTTGTCATTTAAAGCTGATTTATATTCTATTAAAAATTATAAACGCATTGTGGATTGTTCTCACGATTAAAATCGGCCAAAAAGTGATTTTTTCCCCGTGTTGGTGTGGAATGCCTCTCGAAAGATTAATTATAAAATGTAATTTATGTTGTGGAAAACTTTTGTGGCTCGAGAGCGGTTTTTGAATGAGCCAATTTTTCACGAAAACTTTTCGGTTGAACCTATATTCAACGCCAAGTGCTTATCTCTTGGCCCTCTGAAAAACCGACAATGACATGGTTGCACGTAATAATTAACACAGATATCGTATACGGTGATTCTATGCAAATCTGTATGGAGAAAAAGAGGCGCCCAGCGTCGGGCCACAATTTATGCACACATAAATTATTCCCGATGGACACAAGCGCATAATACGAAACATATTAATTTTAATCAAGTCGAAAAATGTTCGCGCACATGAATTCGACCAAAAGTGTTGTTATGCGAGCGCCCAAAAGTCACATAAAGTGCACGAACACATACGAAAGAGTGAGCGAGTGTATTTGAATAAGAGAAAGAGAGTATGAGAGTCAGATAGACCGGCCGATGGTTAAATATATAATTTATTTCGGCTGAACACATATATACGTACAGACTGATGTGTGTGAAAGACTTTTTCGCAGCAGTTAAAACGTTCAATTTTATAGCTGCGTTAATAGTCGTTGATGTGCGATTTTCTCGTAAAATTTTCGTTCCGAAAGCGATTCGTAACTAAGTTGACCGGCTCTTGATGAGCAGCACTTTCGGGCGGCTGACATATATCTAAATTAAAATAGTTTGACTTTTTGCTTTCGAATGGACTGAACTGGCGTAAAAGCCGCTAATATATTTTCTTGGCTCCATTCGACCCATCAGAAGATTACAATTGTTTGGCCCATTCAACCTCATATATCAGTGAAATGGAGACTGAAACTTGACATCGCTACGCAACACTGTCCATTCCAAACGAACATACAGCCATACAACTAAAATGATGAAGCACGTATCGTTTGGTAAACCGACATCGAAACTCATCCGAATGGGAAATGTTCTATGATAAACCAAAGAAAAGAGTCGCACAAACCAAAACGGAAGAAATGTCTTATGATAATGCAGCTCTGATAGTGTGATGTCTGTGTGTATGTGGCGTCGAAGGGAAAATCGCAAAAAATAGAAAATCCGTCACAAATCTAATAGATTGTATACATTTTTACGGCGTCTTGCCTACATTAAAAATTGATATAAAGAATGCTGTGCCATGGATGCGTTCCGCTTTACAGTATCTTGGCATGTCGTCGTTGTTGTCATTTTCGGTTCAGAGTATACCGCGTACGTGACTGGAAACGAAAATTCGACGTTGATGATGTGATGCGCTCTATCGCACTTATCTCCATCGAACATTTCAAAAGTTTTGTGCATGTTCTCACGAGGGAGAAAGAAAGAAAAAAGAGACATATACTGTTCTTTCTCCTTATTCGTGATGCCATTCTCGAGTTTTCGTTTTACATACAATTTTCCATTTGATTTTTACCTCCCTCCGTCTTTTTTGTTGCCATGCATTGTCTTAATCTTTTTGCAAAACATTGCAGCACCTCACATTCATCATTGTCGATTCACATATTTCATTCTAATACTTAATTTCCCACAATAATACGCTTAGATCACGTCGCCTCATTCATACGAAAACTTGTTTATCGCAACGCACTTTTGGTGACAGACGTCCAACACACCTCTTTGAAGCTTTGCCGAGTATTTTAAACAGATTTCCTTGGGGTTGGAAATTGAATTCAGATTGTGAATCGAATCTCGAAGGTCTGACGATGTGACTAACAAATATAATGAAGTGGATGGCCCTTTCCAATATTGAATTTACGAGTAAATTATTAATTCGATTTGAGCGCTTCAAGTATTTAATGAAAGCAGACTGTTTACATTGAATCCCGTTTCATTCATTTAGTCTAATTCCATCGGTACTTTTCATAAAGAGTGTTACGGTGTGCGAGTGATATTCACACACACACACACACACACAAGTTACTTTGAAGAGTGAACGCAGACAAGCAATTTGTGCGGCGACCAAATAGTTGAACTTTATGATCGTTCACACATTTCGTGAACTGGCCAATAGAATCCAAACGAAGTGGGCACACTAAGCGGGATAATGAAAAAAAAACACAAGAACATCAAACAAAGTTATTGCAAAACTTTTGAATGGGACGAACAAAAAATACGGCCAAAACATTTTCCATTGTGCGACATTTTCAGGTGAACAGTTTCGAAGGAAATTCCTCGTAATCTGTGAGCTCAATGTAAAAGCTGAAACCCACCATTCCCATGTATGCATGCGCGGTTACGTATTTATACTGTGGCTACTGCGGTGTACCCACCTGGTCTTATCTAATTTAATAATAAGTTCCGGCTGCGCTGAGCAGAGATATATTCGTGTTCGGTACTCAACGGCTACATTGTAAAATGACAGGAATCCAAAAAAGGTCTGCGAAAAATAGAGCGAGAGCTCAGTCTGTTGGCCGAAAGTAGATGAAAAAAAAAAATTTGAGGCCGGAACTTTGTCAGAGCGATGATGTGTATGTGTGTATTGTTGGGCTTGAATGAACAAAAAATGCTGCAGAGAAGCAGAAAAAATACAGTGTGATGAACGCAAAGGCAAAGCATTTTTCAGCAGTTGTAGAGGCACAGAAAATGCCATGTATGTGCTCATGTCAAAGTTAGCCCATGCATAATTACGAGTACGTCTATTTAAAATTTCAAATATATCGCATTAGCATCGAAAAATGTGCTGAGCCAGATGAGAAACGATTATCACTGGATGAGCACTGAACTTTTGAAAACAGAAGCTTTTCATTAATCTCCAAAACGTTGCATAATCATCGGAAGATGTGACATCTTTTTTCCGCCGCAGCTGCTTTTTTCCCGTATATTTTTCTTTGCCCGCACACCGGAAAAAAATTGGACTAACTTGTTAGGCGTGAATATTTACACGTTGTCAAGTGAAAGTGAAAAAAAAAGTGAATTATCCTAACGAACATCATTTACAATACAAAGATTTAGATTGGACTCAAAATGTCAGCATTTGAAATAGGTTTGAAATATTCGACATACTTTAGAACTTTTAACGTTTACTCTCCATTTTTTCCACCGAATAAAGATCACATCGTAAGAAAAATGGCGAACAATTTTTCCATAACGTCTACTTATGAATTTAGTCAATTTGTAGAATTGTTTGGCTTCTTATTGTTCTTCTAAAATATCTTGGGTTTGATGAGACAACATTTGTATGTATTCAAGAAACAGCATATCCACTGTGTGACCTTACTCACTTTCAATGTCTTCGGAATTTTATAATTACGACTAACAATTAACAATAATATGAATGAAATGTAATTGTGGAACAAGAAAAAAAAACACCGATGTGAAAACAATGCTTTTATTTTCAACAGAAATCATAAGGTCGAGAAGCTGAAAAAAACTCTTATTCAGAAATTCGAATAATTAGCCTTTCGCAATTTTTTTTCCTGAAATTCATTTTCAAACATTTATTAACAGTTCGTTTTTGTTTATGGCGAAAAAACCGAAAAAAGTGTTTGAATGTGCATGTATTTTTAGCAAACAACACTTACTTTCCAATCTCAACACGAGTTACTGTCAAAAAGCAGAAGAAACAAGAACTTGAGTAACAAGTAGAACAAAAGTTTAAAAAATTTAATGAACAATTGGAAGAATGTGTATTCATAGCCAAAAGAAAAAAAATAATGGCGTCCAACAAGAACCGACCCACTGACCGTCCGCAAACAAAGCCTTGATCCAAGCAAAATGTACAATGGTGTTTATTTTTGAGCGGGAATTCATCGAAGGAACAAGCATTTTTGCGTTGATGTCAGTCAGTCTGTCATTAAAACAATGTTAATTCGTTGAATTTTAGCATCGACCCCAAAATAATTTCATTTAATTATTATCAAAAGCAAGTGTTTTAGAGGAGCAAAATTGTAAAGATTCGCGAAAAATACGGGCACGCATTCGAGCTATTTCTAGTAATCAAAATGTTTTAAACAATTGTGCTTTATGGCACCTGCCGAAATGTAAAATGAAGTACCTCCGTATTTAGTCAAACTTTGCTGTGACAGATTGAGTGGTTTTCTCCACTCGATATCACAATTCACTGGTACATAAGGCAAACTGTTCTGATTCGATGGCAAAAGTTTTGCAAGTGTGTTGGCTTGTGGGCTGCCGTCAAATTCATTCATGGTACTTTCATTGAGATCGACCATCGACCGAAATACAATGTGTAGATTTGCTGGCCTCTTGCTAATTAGAATCGTTCAATTAGGCTTTTGTGGATTTAAGCTAATGCGAGACCACAGGGAAAAAAAGGGTTTCATTCTGTATTCGATTCGTTTGCGAATGATTTTCGAATCGAGAACAGGACAACAACGACTGATTGTTGAGTCCTGATTAGCGAGAGAGAAAGCGCTCATGTACAAAACACTGAGCCGCTTCAAAGTCTAAGCGACACGCAAACACCCACAGAGAGAGAAAATGGAATAGGAAATGGAGTGAAATGACAGATTGAGTCACCAATTTCAAAGGTGAACTCTTTCCAAAGTACTAAACTCAATTACATGTCATTGTATGTGATTTAGTTTTCTCTTTTTCATTACACTCGGCTCAATCACGGCAAATCATTTTGTCAAACGAAAGTGCGGCCATAAGAACTTGCAGGTTCGTTGGGAAAATCAAATTTTCGTTTCTCGTTCATATGTGATTTTGGAACGGATCCATATGCATTGTTGTTCTATTTTTTTGTCCTTGTTTCGTTGACATTTGATGGATTGAATTGATGTACAGAGGCAGTATAGCATGGTACATATAAAAAAAAAGTGAACGTTTAATTAGTGATGATCTGACTAGAGTTCAAAAACATCAAATAAACATGAACACCTGAAACACGACCCGAGCGAGCGGACGGATCAAACGAACGAATCAGCTTTTGATTTGGATGTTGATATGGCCCGACAAAATGGGCTATTGCGCATTGGACCTATCTGATATAGTGTGTAAATACAATTTATTCTAACACGTATTTCATGCATGCAGGCCATGGATAAACATTATTTTATTCGTACGAGGAAAACTACACCAAAATACGAATGTGCAAGTTTTTATTAGATTTTAGTTTTATACGCCTTCGTAATTGTTGTTTGTCGGTTTCTTACTTTTGTTTCCACTTTTGCCTTCCTGATTCGATTTCGGGAGCAAAGATCAAAGGCTTAGTTCCGGAATGTGTGTTGAATACATGGGAAATGTGTAGTTATGTTGAATGCCCTCCTAGCTCAAAAAGGACAACGATGAAAGTGCTTGCAATAATTTATTTCATTTGAAGTTTGTGTCTTTGTGTGAATTACAACGAAGTTAATTATATTTGGCACAATGTTTCTACCCTAAATGCCATTGGCCTTAGATCTGTTACGATATCTTATTTTCCGGATATCAATTTGTATTTGCTCACATATTTCGTCTGGTGAACTGGTGAATTCTATGCATTTAACAGCCAAAAGCAACAAAGTCGCACAGTTACAAAGCCTGCTTCGAAATGGATTTAATTAGTACTTGCAATGGTTTCAGCGTACATTATCTGCTCTTTGTTTACATTGGTGCACCTCTTCTATTTTGAGTGACATAACGTGTTGCATTGCACAATAGCTTCGTTAGGTGGAATGGGGAAGACACCTTTGAGTTGAGCGTTTGTTCGGTTTCGAAGGTGGATCAAGTGAGTTTTGGAATTCTTTTATCTTTTGTTCTACAAGTACTCTCGTCTATGTAAACAAGAGCCTCTCGAATCTTTGTGGCTGCTCTCTGTGTTTCGTGCATTCTTGTTATTACTTCCGTGTTGCGTACTGTTTCGTATGCATTTCTCGGATCGCCTTCATTGTATCAATATTTTAAGTTGAATACTTATACCCTTCACCATGATACAAAAAAGAGATAAACTTTTTCGATAGAAACTTACACAGTGTCGGATATACGGTTGTTTTGTCATGAAAGAAAAATGACGCACAAAGAACTCTTTAAAGTAAATTTAATTTAAAAGCTCTATTTCTTCGCAGCAAAATTGAAAGTTCGAAAAAATCAGGTTTCTGAGGAAGAAGGAACCCAAACATCTATAGGAAAGAAAAATGACAGAGAGAAGTTTTCAAAAAATAATCAAGATTGACAGTTAGAAATAGTACCTATTATTTTCGTCATATGTTGGAATGTATTTACCTCGCATATATTGTTGTTTCATCTCACACATTTTCAACGGTTCCTGGTTTCATCATCAGTCGAATAAAAAGTGATTCATTGTATCAAGCGATGCTAAACGCAAGATCAGAATTTTTTTTATTAACGCTTGCTGAAATGTGGATCTAGTGTTATAAAACTTTTAATATGTGTGTGTAATCCCAATGAGAAATCATTGTATGAGAATTGACGATTGTCATAAGTTGGAATGGTGCATTCATTGTTCACACAAGAGTTTGAGTTGTTTTATTCGAAATAATTGCTGAAATGTGTCCAAAATTTAATCAAAAATGCGGAGGCAACGCAAAAGCTTAATTATTATTAATCAAATATTTCTGGAAGGCATTTTCGAAAGTTAGTAAACTTAATTTAAATTTGGTTGAGCGTACTCATTTTTCGCATTTGCAAAATAAATGTTGTGTTTATGGAAATTTATGTCATTTAATAAGTTTTGTTGCATAGTTTATATCTTCCAGTTGAAATTAAGGAACAGAAAAGTCGTTAATTTAGATGGATGGTTGCAGTTTCTAATATTTGAATACGAGAAATCTCTTTGCTCAGTTCATAAATAATTGCCCTTATTGATATAAAGGTTTATAAATGTATATGATGTTTTTTTTTCTGCTTTCTCTTTGTTTCATTCATGTATTCATTGTACGAAGCGTAGATGGGCCAACTATATAAAAGGTGTATTGAAATGTTTTGGTAAACAATTGCCGGGATTCGATGCGGTCATATTGACAAATGTGCCCATTGGAGGAGGTCTTTCCAGCAGCGCAGCGCTTGAAGTGGCGACGCTAACATTTATACAAGCGCTAACCGAGGCCGATAATGATAAAAACCCCGAAAACACCAAATCCTTAACGTAAGTTCAATATTTATGACATCACTTTCACCACCCAAACGCTCTATTGCAAATCAAAATGACCATCAGGCGCTAGAAAAACCGTTGGAACAAGTATATAAATAAACCATATTAGAAGTTTTGCAGGGGAATTTATTTGAATAATATTTCATTTGAATGGGCATTGGGCACATTCAACAGAGTAAATTGATATTGGTCGGTCGTTCGAATCCAAAGTTCACTGGCGGCTGACAAAGGTCGGAACTTATTCGATCATAAATCATTTTTTATTATTTTCAAAAACTATCTCTCCCAATTTAATTCGAATCAGTTAGTCTGTATGGCAACCGGCATACATTTCAATTTGATGAAGGTTACTGTCGAGACGATCGACGTAATTAACTGCTAAAATTTAGTGTCATTGCGCTTGGTATACATTTATTTAACTGACTTTCCATTTAATAAACACGAACACAGGCAAAAACAACAGGCTCTGCTGTGCCAGAAAGCTGAGCACGAATTTGCTGGTATGCCGTGCGGCGTTATGGTGCGTTGTCATCTTCTGTTTTTTGTTTTGCTTTTCACAAACTTCAGCCAACTGTTACTTAATTGGTTGAAAATGAATTTCAGGACCAATTGATTTCGGTGTGCGGGAAACGTGACCACGCGTTGCTCATCGATTGTCAGTGAGTATGCAATTAGTTTTCGTTTTCTTTCGATGAATGTGTGAACGTTACAAACCTTAAAGTTTTCTACTGAATGCTCAATGCGGAATTTTCTGTGTTTTTGTTTGTTGACATTGCTACAAATTTTCAGAACATTGGACATATTTCAAATACCATTCGAGATGGGAGACGATTTGGCCGTTTTAATCTGTAATTCAAACGTGCGCCACGAACTATCGCATAGCGAATACCCGACTCGCCGAAACCAATGTGCACAGGCACTCGAACTCTTGCGTTTGAATAGCTACAAAGATGCAACTATTAAAAGCTTAGACGGTAAGTATGGAATAAAAACAAGAAGTAAAAAACAACAACAACAATTCTTAAAGCTGCCACATTCATAGCATATGAGCCAAAATTGTGCAGCAGTAAACCGTCATTGAAAATGGCAAAATAAAAGCGAGGAGCATTCAAAAGGAGTGAATTGAATGGAATGTGGTTCATTCGATGGTTCGCATTCATATAATGTAAAGTTACGGATTTTGTCCCATTTAGATAACGCAAGTTCACTGACGAGAAATGAGACTTTAATTCAGCTTAAGCAAATTACTTAATTGTTGACACGATAAATCCTTTTTCGCTGCTTTTGATAAACTCACGATTATTTTGTATGCATTATAATCTGCAACAAATTAGCAATGAAAGGATCCAGACGTAAGGAACACATTCTTTTTTATTTCCATGAATATCCTTCGTTCAATGCAGTGAATCATCGTCTGGGTTCTAAATCGTTTTTGAAATTTCTTGAAGAACTTTTCCACTGCGTGATTTTGCCAGATCACACACCAAATGGAATAACACGACGCTTCGTGACTTTGGCATATCATAATATTTGTCTAAACACTTTCAGTGTTGGAATTTTGCATGGTCGTCGGTACTTTTGGGCGGTGGAAGCTAAACTTGGGCTAACCAAACACTTCATATGATGAACTTTTGTCAGCGCACAACGCATAAGGTGCATGATGAGTTGTGCGATGGTTTGATGAGTCAGACACTTGGAAGATAGGATCAGTATACATCAAGTCGTGTTGAGTCAATTCAAGCCGATTTTCCTGTCACACGCACGCAAGCTTGCATGCTCCTCTATGTACTTTAAACGCTCAAGTAATGACTAGTACAAACAAAGTAAAGTGAGTGTAAAAATACTGTCGCTTTGATGCGATGTGCACATATTAACATTAACATAAAATTGTATACATGTCCAACAACCTCCTATTCACAAACAGTTCATTCTTCACACGCACTTCAGAAGAATGTGCAGCAAAATGTCCCGCAAACAGAAGAACCAGTTAACGATTTCGGTGTTTATAGAATTGCTTTCCACATCGGACTGGGAAATATCAACTTCATATTATTACGGTAATACGGTGCTGTTTCGTATGAAAGTTTCGCTTCCGATGTCAGATTCAACATATTCGATGGCTTTTATTTCACGGTAGACACAGTAGCCATGGCGGTTGAGCCTCACTGCCGTATACGTTTCTGGAAAACGCAAAACATGTTAAAATTTCTCAATGAAGCAGCGGACTTGTCGGCATACTCGTGGATTCAGCATATCACTTGCTTTGGCGATTCGTGAGTTGCCAAAGCATCATATATGCAGTGCACTCGATATTTAACGTGAAAACCTATATTCGGTACATCGAAGTTGGCCGAGGTATGATTTCGTTTGCGCGTAGCGCGTGAGCAATTCACTTGCGATATATAGTATATAGGGATTCACGTTATATCGCGAGTGAATTGCTTACGCGATGCGCAAACGAAATCATACCTCGGCCGACTTCGATGTACCGAATATAGGATTTCACGTTAAATATCGAGTGCACTGCATATATAATGCTTCGGCAACTCACGAATCGCCAAAGCAAGTGAAATGCTTAATCCACGAGTGTGCCGACAAGTCCGCTGCTTCATTGAGTTTGATGTTTCTTTTTATAATTTCATGTTGGTACCTAAAACTGTAATACAGTTACTGTACATTTGTGACAGTTCCAAAACACCCCGTGACGTGTTTGACAATAAATGTAAACTGAATGTTATTAAAAACTTTTTTGTGTGTTTATCCACAAAGAAAATGATTTTCCAAGCATTTTAACTTTCTAAATAATAAATTCAATGGAGATTAAAACATAAATCCTTAAGCTCTGCTTTATTTATGTATATTTTGGGTTTGCTGTTGCTCTCGATGTGACAATAAAATCATGTATAATGCATAATGATTTCGTGGTTTCCGTTGGTAAATATATGCACTTCTTGACGGTAAATTCTCCCAACAATTAGACCAATTAGGAAGGTTCTTGGAAATTTATGAGATAGCGTGAATGTTTGCATTTTTTTTCCAAGATTTCCTTCCTCATTCACAAGAAGCAAAATTCCCAATTCAGATTATACACAAGAACGCACCAACAAACTTGCTATACAAAAACAAAGACATCAAAAATTCACCATGAATTCAAATTAACAGATTATTCAGCGATTTTTTTTCTTCTTGTTGCTGTTTTCTTGGTGTTTTGTACAGAAAATCATTCGAATTCTCTGCGGAAATGTATAAACGATTCACATTCCGATTTCCACCGTGTAATTCTACCACCAAATCAGCTCGAATTCGTGCGCATTGTCGTTTCTCGTTCCTCATTCCCCAGTTCGTTTTTGTTTGTCCACAGTTTGATAGCTACACACAAGCTCTTGAGACTTTTTTACGCTTACTTTGGATCGTGCATTTCGCTAAATAGATAATGAAACGGGCAATTTTTGAATTGTACACTTCACCCACATCTTTTGTTTGAATAGATTACGGTATCGCACAGAAGCATGCACAGAGAGTGAGAGAGAGAAAAAGAAAAAGAAGATAGACCGACCGGAAAACTAATGTTTTTCCGTTTCTTTTCGTTGTGTTATGTGATGAGCAAAAGGAAACATTTCACAAAATGATGAGTGTTTAATATTCCGAACGAGTCGTCGTTGTTCATTGAATTGAAATTTGACATTTTTCACAAAGTATGCGATACACTTTAGTCGTCGCACTTAATATTACACTCACGCAATAATTACTGAGCACTATAGTGCACTCAACCAAATCTCGTCGAACAAGAGTCTCTTGGAATAACTTGGAAGTACGCTAGCGAGAACAAACACTTATAACGGCCTTTCGTTTGCACGTAATAAATTTGCCAACAAATACGCACACCATTTGAATACAAAACATTTTGTTAATTAATTCACTATGCGGAAATCCCTCTCTTTTAATTTAAAGCCATTTGTCGAATTAACACTTACCCGAACAATCGAAATGTTTTTGTAAAATGAATGCCAAACATACATTCCCTGTCTGTTTTGAAGGTATGCGCATTTGCGATGTCGCGGATTCATGAAACGACCAATTGCATGGTCATTCAAACAAATAAATATTCAATAAATTTTAGTTTACCTCGGATGAAAAACAATTTACCATATTTACTGCATACACACACACACAAACAACGAAAATAAAGCGGCAGTGTACACAGTATATTTTTTTATTACGTGCCGAAAACCATTAGAATGCTTTTAGATTAATTTCGAACCATTGGGATGGATATTTAATGTGTGTTATTAATCTGCATTCCATGCATATGCAGTGGGATGGCTGGTGCAATAGATTCAATTATTGATGAGCATCTAGCGCCAATCAAAATATTATCAGCAAAGCATGAATAAAACGTATTAAATGGATATTGTTCGAATGATTTCAACGCAAATTATTTAACAACATGCATTATACATATACATATGCATATGTATAAAATTTATACTATTGCCGCTGCAAATGCATCATAATATTTTCTGCAAAATGATAAATTCAGAGCATGCTGTTTATTTATTCAACCATTTAACCAAATTTGTTCCGTTTAATTTGAATCATCGTACTAAATGGATTGCACATCGCTATATTGGATTTCCGTTAATAATGCTCGCTCTTGCTATCTCTTTGTGTCCACTGTCCACATGCTAATAGCTAGCCACTTCGTTTGATGTGCTCGCATATGTTTTCTCATATGTAAAAACAATGAGACTCATCCCTTTAATATCCGTAAACAAGTTTATGCAAGATTATCCACACTTTTGGCCGCTTACGCATTTCATTCAGCTTTATCGAGCACATGCTCTTTTCGATAATAATTTTTGTAATTTTTAATTGTAAACGATCCTGAATTGCATTAAATTCAATACGCATACATGCAACTGATTAGCATCATTTTTCATTCAAAAATTCAATTTCATTCACACAAAATAGAAAGGGTTATCGCTCCTATGTGCAATTAATTGCAGGTGATAGTTAGGTTCTGATGTACTGTTTTTAAGTGTTCATCGAACTAAATATAACTCGGCTGTGCTTGTTTCGTGGTGTATTAGGAATCTGATTGGTCGAACCTAATGTCCTCAACCGGAACGGAAGAACTTCATTCGCACATCGCAGCATTTTTCAAATGCCTGCCATTTTTTTCGATGCATTTGATGCCTGTGGAAAATGTCAAACACTCGGTGCAATTAGGTGCAATTAGATCCAATAGAATTAGTACCTGAAAATAAATTACTTTTGAGGATAACCAAATACCAAACACAAATGTTTGAGTTTATCGATTGATCCGCCGGCACGGATTACACGTAAAATAAATCCACACGATTTGACAGGGAAACCCGAGACTCGCATATTTTCAATTAGATACGCTAATTAAAGCAAATAGGCATGTACGTTCAAATTAGCGTCACAAATTATGATTCATATGTTTTAGCCGGCTTGAATTTAATCCAAGCACACCTATTTTTCCTGTGGTGGTCATCTCTTTTAACTCTGCATTGATTTCGAATTCGTTCCGATGTGTTGCGTCATTAGTAATCACATTCAAATTACATACATCGGTTTATGCCAAATTAACATCAAATAATTCGATTGCATCGCGCACAAATCACATTTCAATTTATTTGACAACAAAAATGGCGTTGTTAAGCTCGAAATGCAGATTTAAATCCAAAAACATTGTTCTAAAGTGCATAACAATTACAATATATGCCAAAGATAGTTGTTTGTGACGTTTTATTTGATATTTCTGTTGTGCAATATCATACAGTGGCTAGAGTGGCACTTAACTAACTATTTGCCGGTTTGATTGAAGCTCTTAAAATGTGAAGTTCTGTTGATGGAAATGGAAAACGAGAAAATAATAGATAAACCCAACATTGCAGAGAGACACAAATATGTATATTTTTCCATTAAATTACGTAAACATTCGTTCATTCTTTATTTTGATTTTTAAAGAAAGTTTTTCTCATTCACAGCTCTGAAAGGTAGTGATGAAGTTTTCACCAGAAGGGCACGACACGTTATCACGGAGATTCAGCGGACACGTGAAGCAGCTGAAGCATTGCGGAAAAAAGATTTCATTGAGGTCAGTACAAAAAACACGGTTTACCTTTGAGAAATGAATGGTGATGGGAAAACATCACGAAATCTAGTATAAATCCTATTTGGCAAATGACCGTCCATCAGTTGATGAAGTAATGATTTTTTATGCATCAAGTGATACCAATGATGAAAATTTTGTGCTTACATTCACTTCATTCATTTGATATCATTCACGAACTAGATCAACTTTATATTTTTAGATGGGTCGATTAATGAATGAATCGCATGAATCACTTCGAGATGATTTCGAAGTATCGTGTGCTGAACTTGATATACTGGTCGAGGCGGCAATCAGCTGTTCAGCTAGTGTGTTGGGGTCACGTATGACTGGTGGCGGTTTTGGGGGTTGTACAGTTACGTTGCTTCGCAAAAGCGACATAAATAATGTGATAACGCACATCAAAACGATTTACAGCGCGAACGGCACAAACGGACGTACTGCCAGTTTTTATGTGGTCCAACCGGGTGATGGTACTCGCCGAATTATGTAATACTTGCAAATGGTGCTGAAAACAGAACAAACATTCCGACAGTACTCGAAACATTAATTTTAACGATGATGTTGATTATGCATTTCCATAACATACTTTCTCAGCTTCACCATAGAATCGACATCATCCAAGTTATACTTCATGTATTTCAGATTGTTAACTATCAAACTAGTAAATAAAGAGTAGAAGAAGCAATACTCATTTTTTAGTCTGTTTACGAAGGAAGAAACCTTTTCTGAACATAAAATGCCCATCTCGTGCATCACTTTTCGCAATTATATGTCGTGGACTAAGGGAAGTAATAGAATTCGCATCAAAGGAACGCTCTCTTAGAAGTTGCTTACAAAAAAAAACTTGACCTCGCATTTAGAGTCTTCTTGTGATAGCCTTCCAAAACAACGGAGGGAATGTAACGTGTATAAAAAAAATGCATTTTAAAAATATTCGCAGCCTATGAACCGGACTCTTTATGAATTAAACCATCAGCATAATGTTTTTTCGCATGTCTAGCACATGAAAAATTTATTCTGGTTCGTTGCTCCCTTCTGTTTACTATCTTCAACGTTTCTGGGCATATTCAATTTTTCAAGTCAAACCACGAGATGAAAAAATGCAAAGAAAAACAACTCACTTCCATAGAAACAACCGCCTGCCGAAGTATAGAACATCAAACGAAACGAGAAAGCTTTTAGTTTCGGATTATTATTCGGTTTTCTTTCAGTTTCATCATTGTGGATTGGAAAAATACAGCCATAAACAGGATGATGCCAACAACAACAGCAACATAAACAATCGTCGACTTAATCTTCGTGCTTTTTTTTCTCTCCTTTCAGGCGAGAATATAAAAGTGTGTTACACACTATGTTTTTGCTATTCTTTGTCTTCATCCATTCCGATTTTCTTATGTGTTGTTGCCATTTTTTTTGTATTACGAACGGCAATTCGGCACATTGTTTTTGTTAGTACTGCGGTGCTTTGCTGACTGTTGGGTTTTATAAATCATTTTTATGACTCCCAAAAGTGATTTGGAGAAAATTATATTTTAAGTATGAATCGCATTTGATTGTCTTCCTGTATGCGTCGCAAACGCATGTTGATATTATAAATATGGAGAGAAAATAGTCAAGTAATAATAACATATCCATTCAATCGTGGTGGAATAGCAACAGCGACGGCGACTGCAACGGCAGCAATAGCAAACAAAGGGATATTACAACTTTTTTAACCAGAAAGAACGCCATCTTACGTCGTGCCCGTAAATTATTTTACTGTACATTTAGATGGTAGAGCTTGAACAAAAGTTCGACACTATGCATAAACTTGGAAAGAGCTTGATAAACTTGATGAAATACATATATTTTATGGTCGTTGCAATACCCCTATGATAGCAATTCTCAAGATTAATACATCGCCATTAATCCTATTGTCTAAACGCATTATTACCGTTTAAATGAATATTTGTGAAACAGAGCCAAATTCCGTCTCTTGAGCCACATTCAAGCATTTTTTTTCGCCATTTATATAATTAGAAAATATCTATTTTCATACGATTCACTTAAATGAATGAGAAAAAATAAAATGATAGCATAACACGATAATAACACGAATATTATCACTATATTTTGCGTATCATTTGATCGAATTTTGCTTGTTATTGTTTTTTTTCGCTTACGTCGCTAAGGGATAGTGATTTTTTTTCGACTTCCACAGACGACTCTCAATTTTCGACTCCACTAATTAACTACGCCGATGACTACATGCTTCCTTATCCATAATTTCCAATTCGATTGTCTATTTAGGACTTTTTCTTGCACATTCGCAACGTATAGAGATGGTCACTGAATTCCACTCAATTTTCAATCACTCTTTTGCGATTCTCTTAATGGTAATTCATCAAATTTTTCCACATTTCGGCAGAATATTTGGAACGAAAAAAAAAAATTATCGTAATTTAATTAGCAAAAACACAATGTGCTTATTCTTCTGCTCATTTGTTTGGGATTTTATCTGTATACACTATACATACACATACCGAATGGAGGCAAAATTCGCAAAAGATTCTCCAATTTTTTTATTACTTTTCCGTACACAACGTGTCAAAGGAAAGTATAGGAATTGGTCCCGAAAACTTTTTTCGCAAAATTAGCTTAGATCATCATAAAAACTCGTGAAACGCGTAGAAAACCACTTTTTGAGACACTTTTCCGTTCGTGTGCCGTCGTTGTCGTTGTCGTCGTCGTCGTCGTCGTCGTTGTCGTCGTCGTTGGTGTTTGTTAACACGATAACACAAAAAATAATTGAGATAATCAAAATCTGGAAATGCCGAAAATTGTGTATCTGAAAAACTTAGTTTAACTTAAAGATGAGCCATTTTTGATTTGATCCTGGCGTAATTGCCCTAAGAAAAACCTCAAAAAATTGACACTTTTGTATGTGAGGTACCTGTAAATAGACTCTAATTGGCTTCAAACTTTCTTTGATTTCATTTTTTGGGAAAAAAATAAGATTCTGAAAGTTTGAAACCAATCGGAATCGATTTACGGGTACATCCTATACAAAACTTTTGAAATTTTGACTAGAATTACCGATTTTTGGACAATTTTGTATGGGAGGTACCCGTTAATCGATTCTGATTGGCTTCAAACTTTCTGAGGTTTCATTTTTTGGAGGAAAAATAAGATTCTGAAAGTTTCATCTTGATCGCATTTGCAGAAGTTTGATTTTTTGTCCTCAATTTTTGTCGAAATTTTCTTGGAAAATTGAGGGCCAAAAACCAAACTTCTGCAAATGCGATCAACATGAAACTTTCAGAATCTTATTTTTTCTCCAAAAAATGAAATCTCAGAAAGTTTAAAGCCAATAAGGATCGGTTTACGGGTACCTCTCATACAGAATTGTCGAAGTTTTAGTTAAAGTGACCGATTTTTCACTTTATTTTTATTATTATATTTTCACTGCCTTTATTTCAAGAAAATTCACAAAAAATAACCAAAAGTACCTACGGACAACGCAGGCCAACGGTACGGAAATGTTCGGGATTACCAATGTAATTCTTTTTATTATATGTATAATATAATGAATGAATGAACGAATGAATGAATGGTGATTTTTCCAAAAAGAAAATTCAAACATATTTAATGGCTGCATTTTTTAAAATGTAAAACAAAAATGGCATAAATTTTAATTGCTTTTCTGCCATTTCATATTTGTTTATTTTCACCATTTTGCATCGTTTATGAGTTGTATAAATGGCGAAAGTGCCAATAATATCAAAGTGACCGGATAAAAAACAAACGTAATATCACACATTTTTGTTTTAATGCGTTTTAACACGACAGGTTTATTTGCTTTCCTCTGTTTGTGTTCCTTGTTTCTATTAAAACTATTGTTATTTATTTTTAAAAATTGTGTTGTCCACTGTGTCGCGCTGAAAAAAAAAAGCACACACACAAACACATACAAAACAAGCGAGGAAATGCGAACAACTGCAACAGAACTATAGCCGAGGTGTTTTTTCCCCTTCAACGCATTTATTCATTTGAATTTTTCATAACTGCGAGCCATTCAACAGAGAAAAAAACACAGCATTTCGCCTGTTGTACTATGAAGCGCGTGAGAAAAAAACGACAGCGAAAAATCACAAATGAAATTAAAAAATTAAAATGCCTTCAGTGTTACTACGGCGTTTCCATAAAAGGATCTGCCGATTTGGGCATGGAAATGCAAATGCACGTGCCTCACATACAACAACATAAATCAATTGATATTTGTTTTTCCTCGTTATCTGTTTCTGCCGCCTCGTTTCGGTTTTAATGTTGCTGCATAATTCGGAGAAAAAAAACTGTGCGGCAAAAGTTTAATTCGTTTAATTTTGTTGAAAATTTGCCCCGAATGTTTTTTCCCCCCAATCGTGATTCCGTTGCACACATTTCGAAATATTAAAATTTCATTTAAATTTATGAACGGATTTGGTGCATTCAATTTAAATTAGTGACATCCGGAATACAGTTGTAAACATCACTTTCAAATTTGAGTTAAAGTTATTAATTGCTTGATAACGTTTGTTTTGAGTTAAGTTTGGCATTTTGTAATGGGGTACTTGTACCATTATGCATGCCCAGAGATGTACATTGTACAACCTTGAGTTTCCGTACCTCATCGACAGTTCTCTGCTTCAATTATTACAGTATCCACTATTCATTTACATATTTTATGCGGATTTATTTTCCATTTTTACCATCCACCAACCTCAATGCTATCGAAATACTTGAATGAATTTACTTAATTTATATAACTTGAATGAAATTTCATTTTCTCAGTAAAATTGAATGATAACCGTGGCCGAGCTGTTGATTTGATGTGCAATTTATTTAAGCATAAACAATCCAACTGCAGCACTAATTGATTGGTTCGTTTTGGATACTCAAAAAGTATCATCGAATTGAGCTCGTACAATAATAATCGAGTGAGTGTCTTCTTAACGAAGTTCCTTCTCGAAGAAATGATAGATGAATGGCATATTATACAGTCCAATGTACTACTGGACACGGAAAATAAAGAAAAAGAATCGTTAATTTGTTATGCAAAAAATCTCCTTCAACTAAATGATTTTCCTTTTTCTAGTATTCTGCGAAACGCCATGCTGAGTTGTTCAATGGTCATTCAAAGTTTTTCCTGTGGAACGGTCTTCGCTTTCGTAAATGAAAATTAGAAGAGAAGCTCTCAGCAATAATTACGAATATTGGTGGGAAAAAAAACCGACGTTGGTCACGCGATATTGAGATTCACAGTTTCGAGACAAATTATGTCGGAGTCATTGTATCAGGTACGATGTACAATCAGTGGAGAATAATTAAAATACCTGTGGTGAAGAATCTGCAAAAATGTTGGATGCAAAGGTGTTTTTTTTTTCGCTGTAAAAGATACAAGCATTAATTACACATTTTGTTCGTTCGTCTTTGGCGCTTGTAATTCTTGAACAAAAAGAGAATTCCCGTCCTCTTCTGGCTTGAATGCAAAATGTATCACGAATGTTGAAGCATTTTTTTTTATTCGCGTTGTGCCAACCTTTAGTTTAAATTTAACGAGCATAAGCGGTATTTTGGTTTCGCCAGATGCCATCAGTGCCATTTACAACCTCAGGAATACAGAACATTCGCCGGTCCATTCTAGTGTAAAATCTTCGGTTGGAACATTGACGGCGGATAAGACAAAAAAAGAGGATGTGTAATTAGTTTAATGTACTGGAATACTTTCATGCTCTGATTGGCACATTCTTGATTCATAATAATTGGCGCGTCTTCAGTTTTTTTCTTTATTCTGTTTCGTTTTCTTCTACCCAAAGCATTTCTGTAGCTTCCTTCGATTTTCCTTGAAAAATGAGTGCACAATGAAGCTCATGGAATTTTGAATAAGTTGAATGGTTGGCTTTGCCAATGGAGAGACAATGTGCATAGTGCACACTGCACACTGAACGATGATGAATTATACTTTTGTGCATTTTTCGAAAATAGCGAAAAATAATTACGGCATTAATTCATTTTTGGAGTTTGGCCCACTGAATCACCGTACATATAAATTGCTTCTCGCCTGTTTACACAACTGAAACAAATGCAATTTTCATGCAGTTGCATTCGAGTTTGGCTGAAAATGGGGAAAATTGCAATGAACGAAGAATGAAAAGCAAATTCCAGGAGAAAGCAACTATCAAGAACAATTATTTGCTTACAAACTGGTCATTTTTCATGTGGGCAACTGAATGTACGACGGCAAGGTATATAACTCAAACAATGCAAAATTAGATCTGCTCCAGTTCAAAATTCTCAGAATTTTTCGATCCAAAAGCTAGCGCTTTCATTTGGTTATTTGTTCAATGCGGCTTATTCACAACAGTTTTGTTCACGATTAATTTTTATTGCCAAACAAAAGGTAACACGAAAGCCCGGTCGGGTTTTTTTTTTCAAATGCAAAGCAACGAAAAAATAAATTGTCGAAAACATTTTCCTCGTTCGTGAATTTCAAACTACAAAGGATAAATTACAGCGATTAGATAACAACATAGCACACTAGCACACTATATACACACACCCTACAGAATAGGGGCCAAAAATGAACACATACACAGCTCAAACACTCAAATCGGTTTAATCGAAATTCCATTTTTATGCTTCGGCTCCAATTGTGCTCGATATGTATGCTGTAAATGTGATGTAACACGAAAATGTTAAATTTCCTTTAATTACGGCCACAATGGTCGGCATTCAGCAGAAATTTACATTTTCGATCCGGCAGAGGCATTTAGCAAAAAGGTACACATCATAATTTCGAATGTTAAAATGTTAAAGATCATACGATGCCGTAGATAATAATGCGCATTATCGTCTAATCGCACTATGTTTAAAATGACACCGGCTCTAATGCGAGCCATTTGCCAGCTGAAACCATACACATGCCGCTCAGTGCTCACTATTACTTTTATGATATTTCATCGGTGTTGGATAGGCACATACACACATACATGATTTGCAAAGGGTTCCGACTCGGCGGTTTTTGTATATGCGTATGGTTTTGTTTTGTTTGACTCGACCATACATTCTATCACACGAAAGGACTACCTTTTTCAACCATAAATTTTTCAATTTGTTTTACATTCTTCACCACACTTTGAAATGTTGAACCTTAGACGAAAAAGTAAAGACCGGCACTCCAATAACAGTAAAACGTATGCAAATTGTCATGGAGTATAGAAAAAGTGGAGTACGACAACAAACGACAATATTTAATTTGTTACGTAAATAGTCATTTGAATTACAAGTACATTAAATGCCGTACACATGTCGAAAGGCTTACAATTGCATGAATATTTAATGCGCATTATTTTCATGCTGAGTACTCGTCGCTCTTTCACTTATCTTTGGGTTTAAATTATTCACAAGCAATTACATTTCAATTTTTGAGTATTGAAGTGTGAAAACGACACACCATCAAAATGCTAATGGTGACTCATTTTCAAAGCGCATGCAAAGAAAATTATTACAAACCAGCTCTCATGTATTGAAATGGATATTGATTTTTTCCCCATTGCGTTCATCAGAGAAACACCAAATATTTAAAATTGGAATCATTTTGAAAGGCTTGAACATCATTCGAGAGATCATTGACACGTCGCACCATATATGTCTGTTTCAGGCTCTACTTCAAGTGGTTTTACAGTAAATCTATCGTTGAGCTTTATAAGTGGTATGGCCGAGGAAAACAATTCAATTATGAATCTCCTACAGAGAGTTGCAACGTTCATTTATTTATAAACATTTTTATTCTCTTTTGTCTTCTAACCTAAACTCTGACCTGTGTTCAACCATCGTTGTTGCGTTCGGATGCCATTCAATCATATTTACAATCAATTATGATTTATTCAGTGGGAGAATTGTTTGGCTACAAGATGAATTTCAAATGCATGTGGCAGGCGCCACAACAATTGAAACTGAGTTGCTGACCGGGAACAAAGCATTAATTTTGAAATCACCATGGAAATCATATTTTCCTATTAATTTCATCTAATGGAGCCTGGTGTGCAAGTGTGCATCCATCAGCTGCAGACATTTGGTCCGACCGAATTGCCATTGCAAAGCATAGTCCCACAACGCCAAAACATACATTGCCATCATTATCCTTGCTATCGTATATCACGTATTGAGTCTCGCCGATATGGGATTTGCGTGTTTCGCCTCACAATGTTGCGCGTACATTTTCTCGAGAAAAATTACAGTTGGGAATTAGCTGGCATACATGCGCCCAGAGTAAAAAAACCCGACTTTAATCAACTTGTTGATTTGTTGAACAAACAACATTGCCTCGATGCTTCACTGGAACCAAACCGACTTCATTCAGAGTCAATTGTTGTATCTTGTATTAAAATATGTAAAGCTTAATATTATGATATTGGGAAAAAAATTGTCATTTTCAACAAATCGGCTACCAGTTACAATGATTTCAATTTTAAAACAATTTTTTCGGTTAAATAAGAATTAAGTTGTGAAAACGACTCACCATTCCATACATTCTTATTTGAAGGTCAACAAGAAGAACTCAATGAAGCAGCAGACTTGTCGGCACACTCGTGGATTTAGCATTTCACTTGCTTTGGCGATTCGTGAGTTGCCGAAGCATCATATATGCAGTGCACTCGATGTTTAACGTGAAATCCTATATTCGGTACATCGAAGTTGGCCGAGGTATGATTTCGTTTGCGCGTAGCGCGTAAGCACTTCACTTGCGATGTATAGTATATAGGGATTCACGTTATACTGCTGCTTCACTGAGAAATATTATAAAATCAAAAACCATTAAAACACTGTGAGATATTTCGAATACTTTGCTGTCTTCTGACATTTATTCAGTTGATTTCAATTCAATTGTGTAATGCACATTATTTTAGTTTCGTCAAACATATTTTACAATTTGTTCATTCAATTCAATAATTATTCGATACGTAAATGTACAACATAATCCATTTAGTAATGTGTGTTTATGTATGTATATTTATTTCACATTTTCATTTATGCTCGCCCCCCCCCCTCGGGGAACTTAATATTGAGCGTGTATTGCGCCCACCTATGTGTTAGCGCAAATACATGGCTGTGGTATCGAAAGGTCAATTCGATTTATTTATTTTTTCTTTTGCTTATCTAAATTACACTAATCTGGTTGTTCCGTGAGTTTTGTGATTTCCATCAATTTCGGTGTCTTATCCTCATCTCTTATGATTACAAACGATTTTAATCCTCGTATATAAAACATCATGGCTGTACTTCTTTTGTTTTAATTCATTATATCTAATGTAATATGTGTATATATTTTTTGTGATTTTTCATATATAAAATATTCTGGTTTCTTCTTCTCTCAGTTACACCTTCGATTTGTCAATAAATCATTTAACATTAAATATTCTCTGACATTTTTTTTTCCGAATTGCCGACAGTTTGTAGTTGGGCTGTCACTCGGCTGTGAAATATTTTGTTTTAGTATTTCTTTTTTTTTAAACAAATAATTAATCTAATTTTTCGAATTTCAAAATTTGTTCGTCAATTTGTTGTCATCACTAAAAAAAATTCATTCATATCTCACGTTTCCTTCCGATTGCTCATACAAAACAATGAAATAAACTAAACGAATATCAATAACATTCGCAATTGATTTATACACCTTTTTTTAAGTTCCTAATTTTATGGTCGATTCATGTTATCTGGATGATAACACGCCAGATGATGAGTAAATATCTGTATCAATGTTGACGAATCATTTGGACAAAGATTAATAAAATGATTCTTAGGCCTTCTTCTCCAGAAAATGGCACTCAACAATTCCACCGATGCATTTTGAATTGCATTTACGGCTAAATAGCAGCAGTGAAAGAAGCTTGACAGCGCGCATCTTCATTGATAATCAACTGGCGTTTTATCCATACAACATGAATTGATAATGATAAAGAATTTAAACTAAATTAATAGCTAAAAGATCTGTTTTGGGGGTCTACTGTGCGACTGGATATGAGTCTAACTATCCTGCATAGTTTGCGTCACACACACTGAAATCGAACATTTGTATGTGAAATGCATAGGGAGAAGACAGAAAGAATACCAACCAAAAAAAAAACAAACATCTGACATAGAAATGAATCCGTTTTCAGCTAACACATAGGAAAAAGAGTTTTTTTTTTAAGTTTTAGTTGGTTATTTTCATTTACGTTTAAGTATTTAGGAGTAGTTATGGTAAGTTTTTTTCTTCTTTAATCCCGTTTTAAACTCCAGGATCTCCGGTTAATTATGGATGTGAATATGTACAAATAGATCAGAAAGCCGAGATGCTTTCGTTCAATTTTAAATTGGTTTTCCTTCCGCACCAGTCGATTTCTATGTGTTTGTGTGCAATGATATCCGTTCGGTTCTTGATTCGTTGATATTGAATGTGGTTGTGTCATCTTCCTTGTCGTTATCGTTGTCGTCATCGTCACCGTCGCTGTACGCTAGCATTGGTTCACTGTAGTTGTCATCGGCTGAAACTTCAAGTGTGGTTGTTCGACGGCTGTTCAATTTCGAGGGTGCATCCGTTGACAGTTTGTTATATCTAACGTTGGTGTGAGTTCGATTTTGTGTGTTCTTCTAGAGTTTTCATAGGGAAAAGACAAAACAAACAATAAAATAGATAAAACATTTGTAGAGTGAAAGAAGAGAATATTTTTTGCGATATTTTCAGTAGCAATTTTTTTTTTTAAAAAGAGCAAAAGTCACGAGAGCTAAGTATCCGTTATAGAAAAACACCACTAGAACATCCGGGAGAGAAGAGCGTTTCAGGCTAGTGGAAAACGTTTAACGGTACAAAAGCAGAATCACAGAAATTATAGAAATACAATGAAAAAAACTAATAATCGCTGCGAGTTAACTGCGGAAAGGAACAAAACAGTTTCACTTTTTGATCACATGTTTTCTTCTTCTTCTTCTTGAAATACAATCGCTGTGTTTTTTTCGCGGTGCTCAGGATGAGTTTGAGCTATTTGTGATAGTTTGAGGACGTATTAATGGCAAGTGGTTTGCTAGTTTTTCTTGCTCTTTCTTTGGATTATTTACAGCTTTTGTCGTTGCTGCCATCGTTTTATGACGTTTTTTTCATTCATTCATTCTCTCTCCGTTTTCTGGAGCAGCGAAAAAAAAACACAGCCGGAGGTTATAACAACTTTTCACAATATTAAAAGCTTCAATGAGTTGTTGCCATTGTCGCTTTCTCAACAGCATGAAAGAGTCATTTTAGCTCACATAAACGTTCCAATTGTTTGGATTGCCAACACCATTTCAACTTCAATCGTTTTGCGTTCTACCTACGTCATATAACATAACGACATTGTAAAATCGACCGAATCGCTTTCTCCATCGTCGTCACAATGATGATGAATCGATCGTATCAAAATTGTACGATTCATTTTGACGACGGATGGAGTGAAAAAGAAAAAGAAAACTTTTTTTTTGAAAAAGACAAAAAAAAAAATAGAAATATAGCACAAACCTGTATTACAACGACTATGGCGAAAACTGAAATGATCAATACACATGCTGCGATGGCAAAAGCTGTAATTGCTGTTGTTGCTGGTGTAATGCGACCAAATCCATTGTTGCCATTTCCATCGTTGACTATGCTCAGCTTTCCGCTAATTCCGAACAGACTGTCGTCGCCGAATTGTTGTTGCTCGATACCGTTGGCGATGCGACGTTTACCAGCCGGCGATGCATTTATGCATCCACCTGAAAATAATTGGCACAGGAAACAAAAAAACAACCAAAATCAGCATGAGCAAAAGCAAAGACAAAAAAACTTAACAGCTATGGCAAATTGCATGTAAATTACATCGGACCGAAAACAATGCACCCCAGCCAGTTTGTTTGAGTTTTGTCTCTTTTCGCAAAGGGCACACACATATATATATATATAGATGCACACAACGAAAATGGAATTGCATTCAGCTCGCCATTATCATGATATAACACAATTTATTTCTGCATATAAATTAATTAATTACACGAAGTCGACCCGAACGCCTTTACGTATAACGTTGTCATTCTATATATTGTACGCGAGCAGCAGCGAACCACCACTCGACAACGCGATAGTTGTCGCGAGCCAAAAAGGAAGCACAATTTCGCACTTTCATTTCCATTTTTCTTCATTCGATTCATTATAATGGCGAACAAAGGCAAATAAATACATTCTATGCTAATTTCGTCGTTGTTTTTTTTCTAGTATCTTTCGTGTTATTTCACAAAAAGGGTAAATACGGGTGTGTAACATACCTGTATCCTTATCGCAGTGACAACAGGATTGATCGGCCTTCAGAGCGCCGGTCGGACAGCAAGGCACACATTGATTATTCAATCGATCTAAATGCAATGGGAACGCACAAGCAACACACGAGTATTGACCAGGACCGCTACACGATCGGCACGATTCATGGCACGTTTTGCAAGTCTGCGTCATTGGATCGTAGAATTGTGATCCCAGACACTCCATACAAAGTCCGCCATCGAGCATGTAGTGGGCGGGACAGGAAGTACAGGCAAGTGGACCGGCTCCTATAACAATAAATGATTTAATTAAAATAATTGAAATTTCATGAAAATACATTGCTGCAATTTTTGTTTTTTTGTCAAAGGAAAAGGCTTGAAGAAATTTCACGGAGACATAGAAATAAGCCATACTGAAAAAAAATCACAATAATTCTGAAATAATGAACACCTTGGAACTTTCATAATAATAAAGTTTATATTTTCGTTTTCTCATCACGCGACAGAAAAACTGCTCTCTGATTATAGGCAAACAAAGTCATCTTTGTAACAAAATGTGCAAACAAGTTGCTATAGTTTCGTGGATTAAAAAATGGAGCGCAACGGAGACGCAGAAATTTTCCATAAGTCTGATTCCAAAGGGGGGCAAAAAAAACTCTTGAGTTTTAATAATGAAATGAAAGTTAATTTTCCGCAAGGTAATGCATTCGAGATGGAGGTGCGTTTTCAACTAAATGAATATTTTGTTATTTTTCTTCTTTTTCCACGCTTTAGTAAATTAATTTGACTGTCAAGTGAAACGTTCACTACGTCTAATTATTCTCAAAAGTCAAATTAATTTGCTAATTTAGAAAAGCAAGCGGTTTGCGTTCGCTGACGAAAAAAAAGAAGACAATAAGAGAGAGAGAGAGTGCGTTGCTCGTTGCACATGAATTTGATATTCACTTTATCTTTTTCAGGTTCTTGTTTGTAATTTAAAAGTTGTTTTCATTTTATGAGTGCCAAGAGGGACATTAACGATGCAAAACACACCAAGGTAGTTGCTACGAGAAAGCAAAGAATAAAAATGAAAATGAAACTATAAAAATGTCGAGCGACCGAGTGAGAGAGTGAGAAAGAGAGATGGGGGAGAGTGAGATAAGAGTAAAAGAAATAGCACATAAAAAACAAAAGGTGAATTACTTGGGAAGTGTGCCTCGGAGAGACATTTTTGTGAATTTACCTGAACACGTTTTACAGTAATGATGACATTTTTGGCAGCCGAATTCCGATTTAAAGAAACCCTCTGGACATTCGGGATGACACTCGCCACTGGCTAATTGCCAATCTTTTGGACACTGCACACATTGATCGCGTCTCGGTCCACTGCACGTTGCACAGCTCAAGTAGCACTTCGAGCATGTTCCACGATCACTGTAGTATCTGTTTAAGTGCGGGCATTAAGACCGGCCCCAAGCAAACGGAAGAAAGAAAATGGCAGAAAATACGTTTCGTTAATTTATATTCGGTTGGAATTTTTTATTCTATTGTGAAATGGGATAAAGTAATCAAATGTATGCATGAGCACATTCTGTTCTTGATGGCAACAGAGAAATATGGAGATACGGTCACACCGAGCCGAACAAGCGACGACCTGGATAAAATGCAAAACGATATGAAAAGATACTCATTTGGATGACACGTACGTACGTAAATAGGTACGAACGCTAGCTGCTTCAAACAAATGCAAACCACGCACATACACTTGACCAACACTCGGCAAATGTGTCACATTCTCACATCGAACACCACATTTTATGCAATGCATGAGCCCTCTATGCGCTTCCACTGTGTCCAAGTGCACAGCAACTTAAATAAATGGGAAAGATTTTTGTTGAAGCCATCTACAGCAGCATCTCCGAGAATCGAGTGGGCCGAGTTGAAAATTATTTGTTTTATTACTTCGTTTGAGTTGCTTGTTTTTGGTGGCGGTCAGGCGTTTGCGTTTTGTATTTTTCACATTGTGTGACAGTGATCTCTTCTTCTTTCCGAAACCAAAATGCAACTCGAGCCCGAGAGTGCATGACTGCGATTGTGCTCAAAACATCGGATCCATTGTGCATGGCATAACATTTGAAATCCCATTGCAAAAGCCAAAGCCAATCCAAGCCATACGACTTTCGCCATCAAATGCATAAGGTTTAATTACGTAACTTACCCTTGAGCGCACGTTGTTCGACATTCACCGCTTTGTAATTGCAATCCTTTGGAACACGCCGTACAATTCATACGAGACACACATTGGGTGCAAGTGTGTAAGCATTTCGCACAAACTCCCGCTTCCATGTAGTAGCCATCATCACAGGTACTTACACATTTATTATTTTTGCGAAGCAAGGGCGAATTACATGTTAAACAGTCGTTCTCAGTTGGTCCGTTGCACGTTTCGCATGTCGAGTGACAGGCATGACAATGTCCATTATCATAATATTCGGCTGTTTTGTTGACCCATTAAAAACAGAGAGAGAGAGAGAGAGAGAGACAAAAATGGAAAGAAAGAAAGGGGCAAATTATGAATAGGATACGATAAGGCTGAGCTCGCACCGAATCTCAGCCAGTCTCTAAATAAATGCGATGGTGTTACAATTGCTGGCTTCGAAAATTCACGTTCGCACGAAATCCCGGCCGAGTGTAGATATTGCCGTGAGCCAAAATTTCCGGAAGTTGCGGTCAAGCATTATCATAAGATACTCTCCATTAAATCGGTCCTTGTGCAAATGGTATCTGATGCGCTCGACCAAAGTAAATGACAATCGGTTTTAAAGGGTCTCACTTTATACCGGAGCGTGCATCATTTAGTAAGAGTCCAAATATTCGTTTCTACAGGGCAATCAATTTTGTGGTATTTTTCAAGCAATAAGCTTAAAATCTCCCAAGACCAGTTCAATTAGGCTTACGTAAGCTTGTCCATCTTTCTCCAGTTCGAATAAAACGACACACACACACACTCTGTCTCTCCTCCTTTCGTCGAATGACTTTTAACCTTTGCGTGTGCTTACGACATGCCACAACCGATATATTCAAAATTTTATAGCTATCGCACTCTTTTAATCAAGAGGCAATCGAACCTTTCAAACAATTTCCTCGACATTATTTTACATGCGAACAAAACATCCTTATGCAATTCGTGTACAAACTAACGTTTCAATGCAGTTGTTGCTTATGACCAATGCTTAAAATGTCATTTCCTTCTTAAATGTTCCAGATTTTGCTGAGCAGAAACTTAATTGTGCTGAACAAACTCTAGCCATTAATTTCGGCAAAGCCGAAAAACGACTTTTGGAATTAGCATGAAAGACAATATGTTCAGATGTTTGTGCAATGTGTGAAAAACAGTGGTTTACATTAAAATGACCGTCGGCCATGAGAGATTCAATTTGGTATGTATAATGAACATGAACAATACAATGTCACATAAATCACTCAATCTCAACGACAAAATAACAAATCAAAATGGCAAAAAAGAATGGCTCGTACTGGGTAAAGCCGAAACGCTGCAGGTAATTATGGCTTGATTCAATGTAATGGTAATTGAGTCTCAAAATGAATGTACAATTTCCAATTTCGACGTAATAATTATCTTAAAAATTAGGAAGATGAAACTGAGATGCAGCTGTCGGAGGGTATAAAGAACGTTCCAACAATTCAAATCACAAACACGCCCATCACGTTATACTTATTTTATTATGTTCTTTAACGGCTTTCTCATTATGTCGTATTTTTATTTTCGGTTGCGATTTTTCTTACTTTTGTGTCTCCGACATTTCATAAAATGGATGCTCATTTGTTACCGATCTTCGGCAGTGGCCGTCAGTTGTAAGCACTTATTTTCTGTCTCATTTAATGACACACTTTAATAAGTCCACTTTGTATACGCGTTCTTACAAAATGAATTAAACGACCGAAATGTTGTTTTCTTTGGTATTGCACCATAAATGTATTACTTTACTATGACGAGGCGGTGTTCTTTTAAAGATTTTTTTCTCCTGTTGCTTTACGATATTTCAAAGTATCATTTTAATGAGAAAATAATACGAAATAATCTTGATAAAATGTCCTCAGCATAAATATGGTAAATTAGGGGAATAAAATGAATGAGATACGGAGTAATCAGCGAAGTCGGTGAAGTTCATAAATAAAACAATTACCCAAATGCGTAACGTTTGTCATAAATCGTGTTTTACTGGGACAGGTGATTTTCATGTTCTGCAGATGGAATTGAGTATCTATCCTCGTGGGAGCTAGCAAATTTGATCAACTGTCAAATGTTTCGTCTGAATTACGGCAGATAGAAATTCAAAATGACGCGAAGTAGTTGGCCGACATGGAATAACGAACATTATGACACAAAGGATGATTGCTGCGAAGCAGCGATTGTTTAACATTTTTGAAAAGTCGAAATTATGTCAGTTTCGGATTTTCGCCGGAGGTTTTGGAAGAGATTTAGTGGTGCTGTTTGAGCGAAACGCACTGCAATGATGGAAAAAATGATGCTTTTGCTAGAGAAACTTTGCTCTGTGTATATAATGATGCGATGTAGTTTATGAAAACGCGCTATACAGGGACATAAAGGGATTTTCATCTGACGACAAATAAAAGAGCGCTGAGCTGCGTTTCACAGTATGTGAAGCGCTTGGCGGTGGCCAGGCAGAGCGATAAGACACACACAGAGATAGAATGAGAGAGAAAAAAGAAAAATGGGAGATCGAGATAAATATGTGGATGTAATTTGCTCCGCTGCATGTGATGTGTGTACAGAATAGAAGAAAAGCAAATAAAGTGCTCAGTAGCGCATTTGTGAGCGATGGAAGAACAAAGACGACAGCTGATAAAGAAGAAAATCCAATTTAGTTCGAATATAAAATGTTGAAAATATCCGCACGTTGTACATGAAAAAAAAATGTACAGCGATGCGCGAGTGCTCACACACGCGGCGCTAACACACACACATTTGGTTTTCTTTCTATTCGTTCATTCATTCGTTCATTCGCCCTTCACACTATCACACGCTACACACTTTTGAATAGCGCTAGTTTGTGCATACGCAATGTTTTGGGTTGTGTTTATTGTGATCGTGTTAATATAAAATTCATCCGCCAAGATCAACGCACATCTCCCCTTTTCTCTGCACAAAAGATTTCTTGCGATGCCAAAATTCGTCGACATCCTAACCGAACGCTCATTCCAGATGGTATTACATTCAACAGAAGATTTGTGTATTTCTAAGGAGCTTTTCGATGCATTTTACATGTGAATCGATTTAAGTGATGAGCGCATCGCATCTCTGGCGCTAATTTCTTTGAATTTGATTCAGCTTCTGCTGGCGTTCAAACGTTCCGTTTTTATCCCCATTATTTTCATCACTTTATATGGATGGAAAACAAAGGAATCGGAACAAGAAGCGAGTTAATTCACATAACGCGATTATATTATGGTATTAGCCGAGTGTAATGGAAAGTCGCACATGAACACTATCCGATGTAGCTCTATGACGGGAAGAAACGAAAAAGCTATTGATATTCTCTATAAATGGCCATAAAATAGACTGAATGAACAAACATAATGAGTAAACAACACGCGTACAAACGCTGTGTGTGCTCGTAGATAGCTTTTGCTTGAATCGCATCACCATCCACTGCCTCAACGCTTCAAATACATAAGGAATTTAGCGCGCTATTTTTATACACATACAAGCTCAACAGCTAAAAAGATTGCTCGCTTCGCTCACCACTCTTTCCTGTCTCTCTTTTTTAGCCTCTTGCTGTGTGTATTGCTCTCCTAAACGTGCACTTTTTGCTTTCATTTTTATTACATCATTACATATTTTGATATAAACACCATCTACACTTTATGTAATATAGAATAATAAACGATGTGAGTTTGTTGTCGTTCTTCGGTTGTTTCTCTTGGCTCGATGTTCTTTTTGTGTTTTTGGTTCCGTTCGGTTCGTTTGTTTTATGCACATGTGATTCGGTTTTATTGGACCAAAAATGATTTTACTATGTGCATAAGCCGTTCGTATTGTGCCATACTTCTATATGTTCCGTATAAAATACGTTATTGCTCTTGGGCTTAATCTCTCATATTATCTTATTTCCAATTTTTTTTCTTCTCTTCTCTCTACTCTTTCACCAACTTCTTCTCCAATTTTCTTTTTATTCTCGTGTTGCTCTGTATATATTTTCCACTCGGAGAGAGCATGAGAGTGTTGGCTGTCGGAATATGTGAAAATGAAAACATGCGATTTAACTTTGTACAAGCGAAGAAAAACGCCAAGAAAATGGCAAAGCGAGGAAATGCGATTCGATATAGAGCAAACGAAAGACGACAGAGAAAAAAAAACAACATAACTGGAAGCAGCAAATCGAATGATGTGAAGAAAATGAATCGGAATGGCTTCACAGATTTCAGATGGTCAGTGGCTGTTGAAAGGAAAAATCAGAGTCAAATGAAAATAAAAACAAGTTGAGAAAAGATGACGCTTTGGAAAATGGAATGTGTCACATAGTAATCGAAAACATCGAACCGAAACAGAAACCTCCCGAATGTGCTCCACACACACACACACACACACACACACACACACAAACACACATACATTTTGCCCGTTTGGAATGAGTTTTATAATCAAATGCATTGAAAATGTCAACTAGTTTGTAGTATTATTATGTTTTGTAAGCATCCGGCAACTTGATTGGTGATAAACCTCAACCCATTTCTATTTACCACATCGCCCTTAGTCCCCTGGTCGCTTGGGTTTTTCCATCGCAACGGTCGTTTTCGAGCAGCAATAACACCAAAAGTGGAATCGTTTCTTGCCTAAGTACTTACATTCATCACAATTATCACTTCCGTTCAGAATGCAACGGTTCTTTTTATTTTTGTTCCACTTTTCTTTGCATGTCAAGCAGAATCCGTTGTTGGTGCACGTTTCGCATCCGGTTGGACATTGCATACATTCTTGCCGCTTTTTATCACCATAATAGCCCGTTGGACAGTTATTCAAGCATTTCCCTTCAAAAGAAAAACGTCCGGTACGACATGTTATGCACTGCGTTTCCGACGAACCATTGCACGTCAAACAGGATGAATGACACGATGCACAGCTAGAGAAAAGGCAAAAAAAGCAAATTGAATTGGTTAGAAATAAATTAAATTGTGGTTTTTATTACGAAACTAGTGAAATCTATGAATATGTCTGCTTGATTCGGAAATCAAACGAAGAGAGAGAATGCTCGGTGAATGCCGTATTTTCTCCGAGTCATTTCTCTTTTTTTTCAGTAGATAAATACACATTTTTTGCATGCGATGCAGGTATAAGTCAAGCTATAATTGATTTCTAGTGGTTTTCTGTTGTTCCCCCTTTTTTTGAGCGGTCATCATTTTGCACCAACTTGACTCCCAATCTACCCCACCAAATCGAGTTGATTCGAAACTATTTCTACGTTGGCGAAAAAAAGAACACGCAGCGAGAGCCCGTGACAACAATTAATTGATGCCCCAAACCGAAACAGACGTAGTTTATGCACGGCAGACAATAGTTTATTGTTGTTTGTCTGTTTAATTGGTTTATTTCGAACATTTATTTATTTATTTCAACCAAAAGCGAAACGCCATTGACAGCGCCAAACAGACACATACACACAAACGCATGCAAGCACGAAAAAAAATGTGCTTCCAATAAATGTAATCCATTGCATTTCCGATTTGGTTGACGTGGTATCGATATGCTGAGCGAAAAAATGCAATTAAATTGTAATTTAAATGCCAGTTCTATCGAAAAAGTGATTACGATAGGCGGCTATGCAATATATGAACTGGTTTTTGATCTTTCATTTTTACGTTGAATGGGTCGTGTCAGTCCGTCCATCGGGACGCTTTGTAAATTGGTCGACAGATCAAGTGTAAAAATATTTTAAACTTTTTTTTTCCCAAAATGTGTATTCACATCGATAAAAATAAAACAGAGCGGCTATTAAATTGGTTACCGCTGAGTATCACAAAAACTCAGAGCCAACGGCAATGTCTTTGATACTTTGAAGTTATTCAAAATGAACCAATTGATAACGATGGGAAATGAGGTTCGGTTTGTGACACACAGCAAATATCCTGCGGTTCTTGTGCTCACACTTTGATGTCAAATTCATGTAGAAAACAAGCAACAAAAAAACTTATTGCTTACCCACCAAATAAATCTGCAATGAATATTTTAAGCCAAGGCAAAGCCCAATTATTTCATTATTATGTGTGTGTTACATAATCTCTTTTACGGACACCGAAAGCGACCAGTGACAATAAATCCAATATAGAAATTGTATGTAATTTGCTCATTTTCACTGACCGTTTAAGTATCACTGGCGACCACATTATTTTTATTGAAAAATTATCTGTAATGTGTTTTAAATTTCATTTGGTCAGCATGGCTTTATGAAACCATTGCAGCTTGCATTCTGTACGTGAGTACATTTGTGTGTCTGATATTTGTGTGTGTGTTTTACGCCATAAAACGAGTTGAGTTGTTGTTTATCCGTTTGTCGGTTGAATTCAAATTTTCTCGTTTTGTTTGATGAAATATGCAATTTCATTGGAATTATTTTCCCCATTTATAATACAGAGTTTGTCCAAAAAATCCCTTTTACCCATGGCCACATCAAAGACATATTGGGATTTGGTGAAGTGGTTTGGGCACGTTTTTATGCAACCACGGCAATAGTTTTGAATTATTTCAATCGAATGCAGTCGACTTGTTGGATTTTGAGAATTAACATTAACACAAATGGGCCGTAATTGTGAAGATCAATGCCGATTTGTGAAATAGACCGGTTTAATTGATGAAAACAAATCAACATTTTCAAATGAAACTTTTTTCCACTGAATTGAAAAGATTTTTATATTATTCATCACGGTTGTTTTGTTAGATTTTGACTATATAGTTGATTAGTTGTTTTTCAAAGCTTTTACAAAAATTGCCATGTTTTTGATAAATGGAGATAATTGATGGCAATGGAGGGACTGAGAAGTTGTTCCAATCAATTCCAAAGCCCGAAAAACTGTTTAAACCGATTTAGGAATTCATTTGCATTTTAAAGCACGTTCATATTAATTGAAATAACAGCTTCAGCTTTACGTACGATAAAGTTAAAATAACTGATTTTGAATGTAGAGTTTGTTGGGCAATTCGAATTAAAAAGTGAAGCATTACGAAAACATTGAAAACTGATTGATTGAACGGCAGATTTTTTCATTAAATACGTGTTGAAATCAAGCCGAATAATTAATTAGCCCCATAAATAACTTCATCGGAATCATGATCAAAGAAAATGGAATGAATGTATGTAAGAGGAAACAGGAAGAAAATCCGTTGCCACCAGTTGAAGTGATTATAGGTATAAAGTGACGGAATGAAAATTTCAATTACCCCGAAAATGAAAATCGAAATCATCTATTCAGTTGGTGTTTGCATTTTTGGTTATTTGCGTTGATGATGAAATTGAAAACGAAACGTAAATTTTGCACATCCACTTGAAATCGATGTAAATTTGACGGTAATGATGACATTCGACGAGAGTAAGACTCTCGTTCGAATCCACTCGCATATGACGTATGAATAGGAGGAAATGTCGTAATCTACTCGAGATAGCAAAGCATCACCACCGAGTCATAGTACGAAAATCAGCCTAACGAACGAACGAACGAACGACGAACAAACGCGTGGGTGAACGAGTGAGACGATGGTGAGGTGGTTACGAAGTGTAAAACCATGCCGCAATACCGTTGTCGGTTTTATAGTTTACGATCGTATTGAATACAGGTGCTGTCTATAAATTGAATTTAACATTGATTGAAGTGGTCGTTGTAAGCATATTCCGTAGACAAATACAAATGCCTCGAGCATATTTGCCTGTATTGTGTATGTGCGTGTATGTGGTTAAACGATAAATCCGCACACAAACAGCAGCGTGGCCGACACCGGCACACTCAGGTAGACATTGTATTCGTTTAAATTTAAACGATTCAATTAATCTTATCGAGTTGAGTTTGGGTATGCTTTTATTTTATGTGGCTTTCAAAATGGTATGGCTTTGCATCAATTTTTCATTGATGGTTTGCCCGATGTAAACCTTTGTGTGCCGAGTTGGGATTACAGCGAATATTGACATGGAACATCCTCTTGCGCTTCTCCATTCCCTGATTCCGGGCTTTTATTAAGTGAAATTGATGTCGGAATCATTATTGCCATTGTTTTGTAGCCTTTCAACGCTTCTTCACTCAATCCGTTCATTCATCAATCCGTATAGTGACCGTATACATTCAAATAACAGCCTTTTCTCTCGGAAGAGTTTTCGGCAGGAAGAACTTGATTCTTACATTTTGTAAATCGAAGTTAGATTAAATATTGAGATTAAAACATATCTTGTTAGAGAATATATTTTGCGATGCTTCATTTTTTGTTGCACACAAGCGAGCAGGCTGCAGCTCACTTAGACGAAGTGGGAAAGCGTCGGGCTCGATTGCAGTACAAACAAAATTTTCCCTTTCTACCATTCCTTTGGTATTTGTTGAACCGAAAACGAAGAAACAACTTATAACGAACAGCAATACTGGAAACGCTAGGCGGCGGCAAAGGGATATTGCAACTTTTTTGACCAGAAAAAACGCCATCTTACGTCGTGCCCGTAAATTATTTTACTGTACATTTAGATGGTAGAGCTTGAACAAAAGTTCGACACTATGCATAAACTTGGAAAGAGCTTGATAAACTTGATGAAATACGTATATTTTATGGTCGTTGCAATACCCCTATGGGCGGCGGCGACGACAGTGCTGTCGAAAATGTGAAATTTTAACATTTTACAAAAGTTAAATTTTAATAGAACGACCAAAACTTTCGCCATATATTTTAATAATGCCCAATTCCAATAGAAGCAACTATAGACGAAACGGAAGAGATATCTTCAGCTATTGTTCACATGGTTTTATTTTCAAGTTACTTTTAATTTTTGCCTGTTTTCATTGCATTTATGTAAATGTTTCACTATCGCTTATGCGATAGAGAGTTTGCAATATTTCAAGCATGTGCCGGAACCACTTTATCAAAATCTGCACATGAACACTACAATTTCCCAGAAAGTAATACCAGAATGTTTCGTTAATCCTAGGAAAAGTGTAGTGAACTCGATTCCGATCGAATCGCTTGAGAAAGTAAATTAGTCAAAATTTCTTCGGTGACCTTTTTAAGAGAGAAGAAACTCAAACTGGATAAAAGTTCTTTTTTTTCTCGGAAATTTGGCTGCAAAACTATTCAACACATTGGCATAACTAAGTTATCCATATCAGAAATGTGGTCGAAAATATCGAACCTTTTCGATATTTGTCATTTGCAATGCACTCAATTTGTTTGAATGCGTGTGGTGGTTGTGTTAATTGTAAAGGGAGTCATTGGAATTTTAGTGGGCATTTAAAACATTACTATCCGGCAGCCAGATAATTACAAAGCAAACCGAACTGAACTGAATGCCCTAACTGATGTTTATCTACAAATGGACAGTTAAATGCGTCCATTGCGAGCATCTATTGTTGGTATGTAATTTCAGTTCTCGCAGGATGCATAAAGCATTGCTGCGTGTTTGCTAAGTTGAACGGCATTAAAAAAATTAACAACACGAAACCAAATCCAATTAAATGAAGGCAGCAAAGAGGAAATTGATGGTCCGACTTCAAGTACTCTGGAATGCTAGTGGAAATGCATGTGTCGTGAAAGTTTATCATCCAATGGGCAATAACGTTATGTACTTTATACTGTCGTTGGATTGAAATCGGGAGATTGAATTGAAATGGGTACATTTCCCTCAAGAACATCTAAATTCAACCGTTTGAAAGGCATGTAAAAAGAAATGCCAAAGAAATTACGTTGATACCGACGCCAGCTACAAAATGCAAATGAGGAAAATTGTATTTAATTTTTTTTTTGTAGTTTTGCCCAAAAACATGTTCATCGAGTGTGAAAAAAAAGAGAAAAGCATATTTACTCGTATGAGTTCATTTCCATTACATAAACTCGTTTAAATCACCAGGGATTCGTTGTATCAATAGCTGAATACACAAAGTTTCGCTTAGCAAATGCGACCGCTTTGCGACGCGACAACATTGACAATTCGAATCGATAAAATCTAAATGAAGATAAATTTATTGCAGTGCATTTTCATGAGCTTTTGCAACTACTGCATGAAAAATGAAATGCAGTGCCAAACAGAGTGTGTGTGTATGTGTGTTCGCGCGTGTGTCTGTGATGCATGTGAAAGCGAATGTATATATATCAGAGAAATGCAAATATCCGATGTTTACCTCATTATACACATTTGCATACAAACAACTGAACTAGCAATAAGTAAGAAATTTATATTCAGTCTTTTATTTTATAGTTTGTCGTTGTAGATCCTTCACTGCAATTCCGTAAACTTACTCAGTGCTTTGTGTTTCACATTGTTCGAGACAATCTTATGAAAGAAAATGAAAATGTTAGCAACAAACACAGCACATGAGATGAGAGACGTAAATCATTAAGCGAGCTTAAAGGAAATTGTTTCGCTGTGCAAACTGACGAAAATTGTGGCAGAAACATCTATTCGATTTCAATCTGAATTTTGAATGGGGTTCTTCGATTCAATGCATATGTGTGGAATTTCTTATCCAATTCCACACATTTCCATTTCGATGAAGCAAACAGTTTGAGTTTCATTCGGAAATGATATACGAAATAAGTGTGTGATTTCGGGTTTTGTGTGTGTTGCAGTGTTTTATTTTCGAACCACGGAGGATCTGATTGCGAAGGCAACGGAGAAAAAGTGCCAGATCATTTTGTAATCGGCTGCTGGAATTATAGAGCCAACATTTGAATACGGTCTGGTAATGGATGCTCAAGTGGAATGAATGTGCAATCGGTAATTTGAAAAATGGCAAGGAAGATCGTGCTAAAAGGGTATCACTTGCCACTCTGAAACATTAATCATTTGTGTTCATCCTTGTGCACTGCACAACGCCTCTCCTTTCGACATGCAAACGTTTCGTCTACCTATTTCAAAGCTTTCAATTTTTTTTTATTTGACCGTATCTTTTGATAGAATTACATTAACTGTTTACCACATTCTGGAACATGGCTCACCTACATGGTGCCGTTTCACATATCGTCCAAAATTCAACCGAGAAAAAAAATCTTCAAGTGAAAGACGCGAACGGTATGGTTTGCCTACTGATTATTATCTATTGTGCAAAATTGCACACACACACACACGCTCACAAAAAGAACGAAGCATATGTGAAAATCTCGTGAAAAAGTGTGCACGATAGAAGTAGTTTGGCAGAGAATCCGTTTGGATGCTCCATTTTATTCATAGCAACCGAAATGAACGTCGATGAGCATTTGGTGTGCATTTCTCACTGAATCAGCGCAGAGGTGAAAATAGAAAATGACGCTTAGCGACACAACAACAATGCTATCATACACTTTTTGATTGAAAAATATCGTATGTTCTTTCGGCGATCCAGACATTGAATGGTGCACCTGCACAGCGACGAAATTTGGCATTTGTACATCCAAATATTGTTCGTTATAACAACGAATTTTCATCTGAAATTAACCGAATCGAAGTGGTAAATGGAATCCAAACAATGATACAGATATCAAAATGAAAGTCATCCACTCGCATAAATAATGCGAAATATCCGTCTAATGGATGAACGGTTTGGAACTGTACCGAATGTAAAATATTTTTCAATTTTTCACCATTCAGCATCAGCAGACAATGTAAATTGAACCTTTTGAGCAATTTTCACTTTAGCTTTTTTACGTCGCATAAAATGCCTGCAAGTGCTATTGAATATTGCATTTTTTTCTGGAAGTTTAATGGAAAAATGAAACAAGAGACTTCAAAATCGAATGCTGTTCCATGTGTTTTTGCTCCGCAAAAAAAAGATAGAGTAGATTTGAATTCATTCTTCGATATGAATTCGAAAAAATTCCATATGCAGCCAAACACTAATTTAAGAGGCAAAAATACTGAAAAAAGCGGAAACACCATTGGATTTCTTTGCCCGAAGTCCAATTTTCAAGTGTTCAATTGACCGCTGTCAAATTCCACTCATCAGCCATAATTTGATTTCGCACTCAAAATGGAGAACAGAACGGGGGGGGATAATATGGTCACAACCTATATCATCATACACATACACACACGCACACTTCAATTAAATTCCATGCTATGGACCAACAATGTATAAAATTCCATTCGAACACAAATTGCTTGTTCATTCTTCACACAGAATTTTTATTATAAAGCCGTTTGATTGATTGACCACCTAGTTGGATACTCAATAGCAAAACCAACGGCATCTGAATTCAGAAAAATATAGTGAATATTTGTTATTTGCTATTTAACTGTTGAGTGTGAAGTGGTCAGTGGAATGTGAATTCAAGCAGAAAAAACCCATTGAAATCAAACCGTTTCATTTCAATGTCAATAAAACTCTCTTAAAAGTCCAAAGCACAAAAACTAATTCATCCAAACCGAAAAGGTGGAAACATGTTATGTTTGCCTGTTCTCAAAGCAGTATTTATCCACTGTACACAATTCCCTAAAACTCTGAATGTTTATAGTGAAAATCAAATTTATGGTCAACTGTGTAAATACCAACAAAAATATGGTCTGCATTTATTTATATACAATGAATGTGATTCCTGTGCTAAATATTTTAATCCCGCTAATATATAAAAATACGGTTATATATAAATCTTATCAGTGCAGCTTTCCGTAAAAAAGTGGCTTTGACTCGAAGAAAGCCGTTTGCTTTATTTACCTACTGAAACATGAGCCATGGCGTTGTGCATGTTTGTGTGTGTGCCTCGGTATCATGTTAAATTCTCAACTTTAGAGCAATAAATTTTCAAACGCTTGAAGTCATTGTAATGTAAACGGGGCCTTGTGTAACGAATGGTGCTTGAAATGTGATAACGTATGGCTTTATTAGGTAAACTACGACATTTCGTTGCTATCGTTCTGTCCATGGATCCTTGCAGCGCAATCCGATGAAAATTCAAAAAGGGTAGCAGTGATTATTTGAATGAAGGCTTTATGTTTTCGGCAAAGCAAACACACACACACACGCAGCCATAGTTTTCATTGAGCGGTAATTAGCACGGGTTGTGTGTCGACTTGATACAAAATGAAATATTCAATTTCCTATTTTAAGCCTCACACAAAAGTAAAACAGCAAGCGGTTTTTCCAAGCTAAAATTTTTCCCAATGCATACTATTGGAGCAATGTGCCGTACTTGACATGGTACAAAACTATTTTGAGTGCACCCATGAACCAAGCACCGTTTGACAATGTCTCTGTAGTGCACCACGCAGAATACCTATAAACAATGGATTGTTGATCATGGACGATATTCAAGTAATTTCCCGGTAATGGACAGGTATGAAAATGTTGCAAATTTTTCGAAGCCCCTGTGTGGCGCCCACTGTGCTCAGCAAGCGCATATATGTATACATTTCTAGAATTTCCCTTCCATCGCCAATGGATATAACTGAGAAATGAAGAAATTAATTTACAAATCCGATGCTATAGCTATAACTAAATATTTACATGACTACTGCTATATGCAAACATTACATTCGGTGAATTCAGGTTCATCTAACTTGATTTTGCCCAATGAGGCACGTATTTACGTTTGAGATGCAATAAATATAAACGTAATGGGCAATTTAATCGAAATGGAATGTACCAAATGTCTTTGGCGCATCACAAACAGGCAATTACGTACACACAGTGATTAATGTCTCAATGGGCTCAACTCTAACATATTAAATAAATTAACAGTTCATAAGATATGGATCGAATATAGTTAGAACATGTAAAATAAATAGATTCTTAGATCGAAACATCAATTCATTTGAATGAGCAAGAGCATGAGTATGACCATGACCCATATTCAGCTTAAGAATTCAAGACATCGAATATCATCCGATATGGCAGGTATGCAATAGCAAAACACATTTAATCGAAAAGTGCTTAGCGAGTTGCATCTTTAGAAATTGGAAATTCAATTAAATATTATTCTAAAGGTTCATACCAAGTTTAATAGAGCAATTGAGTCATTTAATTTCATTCTTTATTGTGTAGTCAACTCGAATCACGAAACTGAAAATATTTGTTGGAATATCTCGAACTGAAAAGACCTCAGAACTCAATTCAATTGGAAATATTAATTTAATTTAAAAAAAACTCTAATTTGCCTTTCGGAGCCAATGTCTCTCAATAGTAATTACTTCGCAGACTCAAGTCCGGAATAAATAAGTGAAACTAAAGTCGAAACACCGCGCTTGATTTTCCTCTTTTTTTCTGTGGGTTTCGAAAAGTTTTTGAGCACCACCTTTTAGTCTCAAGCAGATACAATAAAAAATCCTGCAACATTTACTTATTTTTTACTACTGTTGCTGGCGTCGTCTATATTTCATAACTTTGTTTACTTCTTGCAAATGAATTATGCAAAACTGTGTCTTGGTTTACATGCCCGTTGAACATTGGTAAAAGTTTGAGTTTGAAAATTGATTTTAATTGATCATGGTCTAGTTTCGTTTTACCTTTGGTTTCATTTTAATCAACGAGGCAGAATTCTAGTCTTGGTGATTAATTTCTTATAAAATGTACACATTTCAGACTTATTTACATTATTCGATTTATTTTTCGCAAAACTGACATTATTGTCAAATTGGCCTCGAAATTTCTGGACTCATTGACTCAATGGATTGAACTACCCAAAGGATTCCGAGCAATGGAAAAGCCATCGGGCTGTTTGACAAAAGCAGTAAGAAAACTTGAAATTGACAGGCTGTCAAAAAATCGGACTAAAATGCAGTACTGTTTTCCACCCAGAATACATTTCCGAAAGATTCCTGCTGATTACTTCTAAATTTTTTTTTTACAGGTATCCATGAAAAAATTGCGCAATGTTCATTTCATGGAAATAAATTTAATGTTGAAAGTATTCGCTCCTTGTAAAAATGCGAAGTTAGAGAATGGTAATGGAAGTGGACGGCAAGCAGAGATGTAAAAGATGGTGTTGATTTGAATTATAAATGAGCAGTAATGCAGATACGGCGGGAAAAGAGCAATTTGTAGTCTTTAAAAGACAACAATCGCTTATTGTTGGTCATGTGAGCTTCAGGCAAAGTACCTTCCTTCCAGGTGGGTATTTTTTTTCTTCTTAAGGTCTTCTTCGCAACTCTTCATAGCAGTAGTTGGTCTAACGAGTTTCACCATCAGTATGGCAACACTTGTTACATGATCTTGCGATAAAAATGCAAAAGAATCGGCTCAATTTCCACAAAGTCGTTAGGATTCTATTCAGTAAAAAAAAGAGAATAAAAAAACAACTACACGCTGAATCGCTATTCTGCAAATGTGAAGAAAGAATTAGGAAGTTTCACCACAATAAGGGGACCTTTTACCGTTTTCTTTGTATGCAATGGTAAGAGACAGGGTTCTTTTTGCTGTTGAATATCACCGCAATTATGCGATAGCATTGTTTACTACGAATTCACGTTCGCTTTGCTGATTTCCATTTTCCGTTTCCGCAACTACCACAATTCACACGTTTACACCTCGCAATGATCGTAATAGAAAAAGTTTTCTGCTCATCTTCGAATGCACTTTATGTGTTTATGTGTTTGCCCTTTTTTCTACGCTCTTCTTTTTGGCGATGGTTTACGGTCCAGTTAATCTACCGTCACATCGAAATTCAAATGGAATTACACCAGCCCAGCATGCAAACGGAAATGTATTTAAAAGTTTTCGTACGTTATTTGAATAAAGCTCTTTCCACACTTTTACTGACTGCGACTGATGCAAGTGTGTTGAAGTTTGCCGTTGTTTTCGGTTCGTACACATTGGTGTGGTGCCCCACTCACTGAAACACCGAGTGCCGAGCGCATTTTCTTTTTGCCGTAGTTTCGATCGATAGTTTCATTGTTTGCGACGTCGAAATTGAATTTCGATTGTTCTTTTTTGATACGAACGTCTGGTGAACCGGCGCAAAGTTTTCTGTGAGCTTACATCGATGAAATTACTAAATACACTTGTAAACAATGCGAACGACAGCAAAAAACTTATTTTGTCATCGATGCAGTGATGATGCTAGATATGTGCTTGAGATTTCCCGACAGCCGCTTGCATTGTGCATATTTCTCAGTTCGAAACGGAAATCACAAATTCCAACCAAGTACCGAAATGGTTTATGGACCAGGGTGGAGTTAATGAATGCACACCGCACACATGCAAAAACGAGCTCAAAATTTACGGTGTAATTTGATCTACAATCTCATGCTTCGAATAATGTGCACAAAGTTCCTTTCATTCGTTTGAAGAATTCGCTTCTTTGTTGTTGTCGTTGGCAGCATCACTGTTGTTGTTGCACATGTGAAGTACGAAGTTTCATGATTATGATGCAAAACGAGATGTCTATCAATTTTCAAAGCTATTTTATGAACGCCATGAGCACACTAGCTACATCTGCAAACTTGGCATATAAAATGCGTAATTTAATACCTAAATTGATGCTCCAACAACTAATTTGCGCCGAAACAGTGTGTAATTAAAGAGTACAACACATCAAAAGTTCTAGAGCCGTCTAGAGCGAAATCTACTATTGAATTGGATTCTTGAAGCGTTGAAATAGTTTGCCTTATTTTTAGCTTCACAATACGTTCCCATGAATGCCGGTTTTATCTTACAATATATCTTGTTAAAAAGATATTACGTAATTTACACTTGATTGTGTGATTTACGTTGAATCTCGAATTCATACCACCGAAAATCATTCACCCGAGTAAAGTAAATTGGCTCTTGCCTGCAGTAATCATCATCATTTAGGAAAATAACATGTGTCATTATTCAATAGAATTCAACAATATCTAAATGGAAGCCTGATTCCTGTCGATCATAAAGCAAATCTATGGAAGTTTCTCAAAAAAGCTTGAAATGGAAATTGAAACCGGAAATCTACTTAATCAATATTAATTCTTAATGAATGTCAACACAATTGAAATCAAAATGTGAATTGTCATCATTGATATTCCTTGTGAAATCATACACACAGCATGAACACACGTATTCCGCTTCAAATGTTTCACAAAGCAATTATCGTTGATATTAATTCGTTATTTTGAATAACTTCTCCTTGAAACAGACTTGTTCTCAGGCTCTTGATCCTAACAATTTATTTCTATGACATGATCGCATCGGATTTTGATACCATAATGAGGTGCCATTAAGAAAAAATAACATCAATCCGATAGCGTCAATCCGATTTGTGGAAAAAACATATAAAAAAATAAAGAGAATTACGATTATCGAGCGTATATCAACAATGATGACAGTAGCTGAGCTCACGATTGATATTCAGAGGGGTTTCTCTGTCTATAAATACATGTGATGAGATTCATTGTTTATTCGAGCACTTGATTTCTCTCATTTATTTTGTTTGCATCTTGTCGAATAATCCAAAGATAACATTTTGAAATGCTCTCAAAGTCTCTCAGAAATTATGAAGAAAAATCCGCTGAGATGGCTTGATTTTCTAATTTGGTGTCGTACAAGATTTGCTTAAACTCGTCATTCTCGATTTTTCCCCCACTTCTTGGGTGTGTACGCAATCGAATGATGAGCTTTGTTTTTTCTCGTTGTTTTCATTCCATTTGGTATTGTAATTCTCTTGACAGCAGAATAGCGTTCGTTGATCTAGTTAAATCAATCGGGAAAAGCATAAGGAAAAAATTGATAGCAATGTGATTATTTAATTGCTCATTGGTTCCGGTATGACTCAAAATGGAACAAAAGATGCCCAGTTCCCAGCAATTAAGCAAAAGAAATAGTGCAAAGGTTTGCTTGGAACGCAACGACTTTGGCTTGACATTCAACCATGATTTATTTCGGTTGAAGACTTTTTTTGTCGTCAGATTTTGCTTGAACGCGGTGAGCACTAACGAAAATATTTTTGATGAAAAATGCCTTTTTATTCGATTTCACTGTGCATTGTTTGCACGACATGACAGCAATGGCAGGCTTAAAAAGGGAGAAAACTTACAAATCATATTGTTCAGCAGAAGAAAATAAAAAGAGGCAAACGGAAAGAGCATGAAATGAATAGGATTGAGGCCATACCCCGAAAAGATCAATTCGCACACAAACAGCGAACGAACGAAGTCATTGTTATCACGATGTCGTCATTCATGGCCGGAGTCGTCTAGGTTGGTGGTTGGTATTTTATGAGCCGTCTTCTGTGCATACCGATCCGTTGAAAGTTTGGCCATTAGTACAATAGAGATTCATGTCATTAAAGGAAGAGAGACTTGGAACCTGGTCGCTATATAGTCGTTTATTGAATTTTCCTTCTATTCCGCACATTCGAATGTATATCACAAGCAAATAATGCTCTATTACCGTGCAACATGGAAACACACACACACACACATTCATTTATACCCATGGAAAGTGTATGCGGTACGGTTTTTCTCTCTTCCGAACGACGAAAAAAAAAAACGTTTTATTCAAATCGCCTCCCGGTGCACGAAAAAAAGCGTTTCGCTTGGATTTGTGATTGTGAGCAAACAGAAAAATGACAAAGCGGTAGAACGGAACGGATAGAAAACATTCATGTTACTGAGCAGAAGAGACGAGTGGCGCACACACGCAAACCGAAAAGAAGAATCAAGATTTTTATCGGATGTTAAAATGAACGATGGCCAATTTTGTAATTTATGTTATCCGCATGAATCTTTTATCCGAGGATTCCGTGCAGTTTGTAAATTTTCATATTGACGTTCCGCATTTTTTTTTTCTTCTTCTTTGCTTTCCTTATTCCGCATTCATCTTCTACCATCGAAATTCGCTGTGTCTATTTGACTTGGTTTTTGTTTGTCTCCATGGCATTGTTGACAGCACCCGCATTCACAGTTCTAGCAGTGATACAACTACTGTACCATGGGTATGGACATGGACAACAATGAGATGGCTGGCGGCAATAGATAGAAATCGATGAGAATTTATCGTTTATTGATTGTTTTGTATATATGGAGATTGTTGTTTGCTATTTCAGCCGTAATATTCCACTTTGTATCGTAAAAACGAATGTGATGAGCAAATATACACATGTTGTTACACAATTGCCGGAATCGTTCGGCTCATCAGGGAAAATTGAAAGCGGATCAACACAAAAATACCGGCTAAAAGCACAAACAAAACTAGCAATGAACCCGACAAATGGGGAAATGGAGAAATGGAACACTTCCTAAGCGGCACGGACATACATATGTCGAGACAGATTTATTTACATACTTTGGGCACACTGTGCGCCGTTGAATGGAATATTTGCGAAAAATGTCGCTCATACTATTCAAACAAACCCTTTTTCATGATTCGATAAAAAGCAACCCATGCCTGAGATACCGAAGGTTGGGATGTGGTGCAAAAATGTTGATTTTTACTCGAGATGGAATCTGCTTCATACTTTGATGCATGCCACATATTTTTAATGGTGTCGTGGCAAATTGTTTGCATTCGTGGCCGAAGACCGTGTCTTCGAATTCGAATATGCGAATACATTAATCAGATTGATTCGACCGAATCGAGGCAAACAAAGCGCGTGATTCAATTAAATTTCGCTCGACCAAAATTTATTGCCATCGATCTAACGACCGAAGAGGTGTTTTTGCTGTTCAACTGAAAAAGCAACTGACGACTTACAAAAAAAAATCCGAACTGTTAATAACTCAAGCTATTTTTTTTTTGTTTTTCGTCAACATCGTCGTCGTCTTTCGCTTTGACAATTTTTCAAGCGCAAATATTTATTTACCGGAGGTTCATGACTCCTAGTTTTGCACCGTCGCCGGCTGTCGCATAATTTGTATTTGCGCTCAATTTTCTCAATTTACCACACCATCATTTGGCACTGCGATGCCCGCCTATCCAACGTACAAATCAAATGAAGCGGAATTGGAGACAATTAGAGGCAATTGCTGAATTGAAAATGCAAATGCGGGAACAGCAACCGAGGGAAAAGAGCGAAATGAAACTTTTCCCCTGAATGTGAATCGCAATTTAAGAATTTGCATATTATTTGCTTCACTGAATATTTGGGTGTATCGCGAATATATTCGGGGACAGAGCTTCTGATGAATTAGCGTTAAATAAAAAAAAATTAGAGATCGTTTATGTCATGAAGAAAAAGGTTGAGCACGTATACAAAAGGCCATTTGAGCGAACAAAAATGCTCAATCGCAACCCTGTTGCCAGTCTTTTATTTTTGCTTCGCTGAATTTCTTACATGACCAGCATCCCTGTTCAATGAGACCCGCGCGCGCGAGTGTCCTCTCACCATCCGCAGCGATATAATAATTAACAGGTGTTTCCAACAAGTTGCCATACGCTTGGAGCATCGCTTGATACAGGTGTTGGAACCAATCGATACTTAAATTGCCAACGCTTTTCGCACCTTCAAGCAAAACCATTTACATTTTATTACAAGCTCAGGTGCTACTTTATCATATTTTCCATATTCTATTTTCGGAATTATTCATTACTACCGTTAATTTATATCGATAAATTTTAATTGTTACGAATTTTGCGTTGGTGCTGATTGGTCATTTTTAACGGGGTTCATGTTTTTGCCAAACGTGTTTTGGTCATCACGAGCCATTTTCCGTCGGTTAAGAAGTCAAGGTACATTTTCACTTTAATTACCAAAGCATTGTCGACCCTTTTTGCTGTGACACGCACAAATGGCGATTTCAAGCCAATGACCAACAAACCATTCAGCTCAATCAATGATTAATAAAGCCAACTTGTACGGAATCGGTGAATCACAAATGGCAATCGTTATCAATCTGGCATTTGTACTGCTCCCGGCTTAGTAAAACTTATTCAAATTTCCGATGCTTTTGTTATTTAAGATTTCTTTACGTCTCAATTGAATGCGAAACGTGATAGTAATGAAATACATGAATTCTCTCGCTGTGTCGACGGTGTTTGGTCGTGTGTTCGATTTTTTTTTTGTGTGTGTGTGCGCCTCTATGATGATTCTGAGAAAACATGAAGGTCACAAAAGGAAACTGATGAATGGCGGAACAGAAAAAGTTGTCTCCTTCTTTCTGGTTTTTATTTTACTTTCAACTTTGCCACACATACAGAGACACATACAATCGAATTGAGCACACACTACATTTCGTATTTATGTGCATGAATATAAGGATGGATAAAAAGTTAGGAATTCTCACGAACAAAATGGAGCACCGAAAAAGTTTTCGTTGGCCAAAAGTGAGGGGAAAAAACTTCGACATATTTCTGTGTGTTAGCAGTCCAATATTACAATGAAAAATACGATTTTTTAAGGTTTGCCATGAAAAGCGTACAAAGTTTCTTCTTGAGTGGGGCTTCTCTCTGTAACCGAACGATAAAAAAAAATTTCACTTCATTTGTGATGACAGCGAGGGACAAAACTAGGTCTTGTGTCTATTATCAATTGCCTGTTTTGTCAACGGAAAAATTGTATCGAATATGAAATCAATATCACACATGCGATATAATCTAATCTGCTGCGGAACCAAATTGGATGGCTCGAAAGGTTTCCCGGTTTTTTGGATTCCGAACAGAAAATAATTCACTGTGAATGTGTCATGTTCAACTTAAAATGAATTTCAATTCTTGTGGATTTTTTTGAATAAATCTCTATATAAGCTACGCTAATAACTTGAAATGAAGTTTTCTAAAAAAAAAACTTTCACAGCGAATCGAATTCGACAATAATCCAAAGAGTTTGGCGCAGCACTGATATGACAATATCTCAATTCAGGTCTATTTGAAATTAAGTTAAATTGCATGTGGCACTGCGCTTCGTGTTTGTATTTTCATATTAATTCCCAATGACAAATTAGATAAACACAATTGGAAAATGAACGAGCATCAATTGTTGGCGGCCATGACCAAGTTTCATTACGAACTCTATATTTTCGATGTGCACGGTCTGTGCCGTACCTGCTATAATTATTTTTGGATTATAACCCGTTTTAATCAATCGCTGGTAAATATTCCACATTTGCGATAGATCAACATTGACGAACGCCTCTATTTATCGATGCAATGCATATATACGCGTGAATTGGAACCCTATGCGAATGGGGTCAACGAAATGAAATTTGAAAACGGAATTCACGCTTTATTTCGATCGAAATTTGATTAAAGCTGATCGTCGTAAATAGGAAAACCATGGCAAAAATGAACCTAATGGTAAATCATCAATTTTAGTATAAATCTAAATCCCAACCATTCGATCCGTATAGCTTCGGGTGGAAAATCGATGAAATCAAACGACGGTCGGCCAATATATTGAACGAGACAACGAAAGAGTAAAGTACATAAATGTGTTCGAAACCGAAATCGAATTTCGACAAGTTGCGTTTGATGTACGAGATGATCCGACCGATAAATATTTATGATAATCTTTCGTTTATAATGCAGAGTGATTATGGGGCAAGGCGAGAGTGAACGATAGTATCGTAATTACAATGGTAACAATAATGGCGCATTTCAAATATGGTACATCGGAACCGCATTTGCGTGCTTGGGTTTTTGTTGCCTGGCATTCATATTGCATTATGCTGGACGCAATGCATCCAGTTAATATTCATGTTATCTCTGTTCAAGGGGCATGGAGAGAGAGTGAGCATGGGCATTCCATCGGTATTGGTTTGCTATGGTTCCGTTTGATTTAAAATCAAAGCCGATATATTCTGTCAGACGTTCTCTCAGCAGTAGACACATTGACCTCGGTTCGGGGATTCTGTTTGCTATTTTGCTACCCATAGCTCGTACAAAATTTCAACGGGCCACCGACCGACCCGAGATACAAAACATTAATTAATATTACTTACTGATAATCCTCCGTTTCGTAGGTGTGCGGTGGACAGGCTGAATAGCATTTATGCTCGTGCATGACTAAGTGGTGCTCACAGCTCACACAATAGTCCGGACGATCCTGACATGAAGCGCAGTTTGCTTCGCATGGTACACATGTTTTATTCTCATAATCTGCAAACAAGAAAGAGAGAGAGAGAAGGAGAAAAAAATGAAATTAAAATCACGACCACACTCCCTATAAATAAATGACGAATTTCATAAAGAACCAACAAAATTGATTTTATTTATTAAAACGCGTCGTACACGCGTTTATCAATAGCCCACTACTATTCACATTGCACACAATTCAATGCGACCAATGCAGAGTTTAGAATGTGATGCGAGATGCCCACTCAGTGAGACCTAAGGGGATTTATCTCTCGCGAATGCATTTCAGAACAACAATTCGAATGTTTGCGAATGCGACAAATGCGGCTATGACAGCGAACTTGTGACTACATAATTCCTAGCATAATTCATTCGTTCATTCGTGTTTTTGCCGGCATTCGCAACGCTGCCGTATGATTTCTATGTAAACATTCGCACTCGCATTCGTGAAAACGTTCGAGAACAGCGAAATACGACTGCTATACGAATGCGAGTGCGAATGTTTACATAGAAATCTTATGGCAGCGTTGTGAATGCATGGCACTGAGCACGAATTTGTGAATAAAAATTCGAATGGCAAACCGACATAGAAGCCCCTAGGGTGAGACTTAATTGAAATTGGAAATTGAATGCGATTTCAAACTCATTTAGAGAAAATCACAAGTTAAGCGATGCACTGTCTGGGTTTTCAGCATTTCCACTAAATGATTTTTCGCATTTTATTGATGATATTTCCAGTGTAATTGAAGCTGATTGGCTCAATTGAATTGAAACATAAAAGGGATCTTACAACATAATATGAAGTCAATTAAATTTACAAAATGTGCGAAATTCGAATTTGATTTTCATAACCATCTTGGTAGTGAATTGCTGTTAGTTTATTATTAATGAGCTAAAATGAAGGTTTCATCAATTCTTATTATGGAGAAAAAATCAATCAACTCAAGACATTAATGTATGACTTCAATGTATGAATTAAAGTCAGCGCCGTAGCTACCTATGAAGCTATTGAGACTCAGCCTTCCCAAAAAATTGCTAGGCCTCTCCGTAAAAGTTCGGCGGGACAATTCTATATGAAATCAACTAGTTTCTATTTTAGAGTCGCTTTTAGAATATTTTTGCATGGTTCAGAAGCCGTTTTTTAAATAAAGTTATGGAAATGTTTCGAAAAATTAATTTTTCGATTTCATTTTTTATGGATCGATCGAGAGTTCTTGACAAAAATATAGAATTTTGTTCTTTAGAAATGTAATAAACGACCTCAAAAAACATCAGAAATTTGTTCAACTTTCTTTCCATTTTGACACTCATCCCCAACAAATGGACCACTACGGCTCTGACTCAAACACACAACAGGAAAAAAATTGCAATTAAATGAATATCATTAAAAAAGATGTTCAACCATTTTGAACGAACTCGAATGAAGTTTTCATTGCAATTAATCAGGAAATGGTATTTGCTTGGGAGAACATACATTTTATACACAATGTCGATTCTGATGAGCTTACAAATATTGTTTGTTTTTCGGTTTCAACCGAATCAACTGAGTTTTTTTCATTACTCTGTTTGCATACAGAGTATGCTTACAGAAAAGCCGCTTCAACGCACTCCATTCTTTGCTATGTATTCATTGAAAAAGTTACAAATAGCTAATTACGTTTCCTTTAACATTATATTTCTGAATCGTGCTAACCTGTTTGCCACACAATTTTTCTACATTTCAAAACGCAAGACAAAGAATGTTTCATGCATGAAACGGCGGTAAATGCTCGATCAAAGAAAAAAGAACTACTTATCATTATTCAAAAACTTTATATTTTCAACACTTCTCCGTTGTAAACTCTCAAATGTACTTATGAACCTGAGTTTTGATTGGATCTACCCTAATATTTAATTCATGTGAATAAAAGAAGCTAAAGAACGTTGTGTTTAAGTTGTAAATTGTGCAAGGATGAACTGGATACATGTAAAAATTTCATTCTCATCGAAAAATACCCATGCACACAAATTTGCACCGGCAATCAAGCGACTTGAAAGAAAAAAAAACCATACAAATACATACGATGGAATAAATTAACTTTACAGAAATTAAAAAACTTAGAGTAAACGTTGAAATGAAGTAAGTTTCTTCTGTCAAAAATGGTTGGAAGAGAATAAATCAAAAGTAAGCATTGAAAGTGATTACAGCAGGGTAAAGTTTTGCATTTTCATACGAACAGTGTGTGTGTGTACCGACGTCATGATGAGTCAGGGCCAGGCTAAATGAACAGAATTATTACTGACGTTTCGATTTTTTAAGCGAAAAACTTTCCGTTGCAAAACTGCACAAAATTGATGTCAAAAACAAAAGTTCTACTATGGATGAAAAAATGGAACTCAAATGCGATCGCTCGTTTCACAAAAATTGAATCTAAGAATAGGTTGCTTTTCGTGTCAAATGTCTTAGTTTAGCAGCTGAAATTGTTTATTCTGATTAAATTTTTCGAAAGATATAAAAGACATTGGCACAACAAAAGACGCTTGTTTATTGGCTAAAGTAAACAAGTTCTGCACAGTAATGGGAAATTGTTTATTTCTCATTAAATTGAACAAACCAAGACGATTAAAACAATTTATGAAATAATGGAGTATATCTCAGCTAAATTGGATTGAACGCAAAATTTGCAAACACTAACGTTTTTAAGTGTTTTTGAATTTTCAAGAAAGTAAAGTAAATGGTCGATGATGATGGCGTACTTCTTGTTACAAAAAAGGCCATTTTCATCATCAACAATGAGAATGTATAAAGCTGGAAACTTTACAACATAACGTAATCATTACTGCACATCTTCTCTCACCAGTTGGTGACATTAAATATAAATCTAATTTATTCCTGACATTGTCATTCCATTTTACTGATTTTATTTGCAATAGTTAGAAGACAAATTTAATTATCCGCACTCGATATGTAACAGACTCCGTGATCAAAAATCTATTTAACGCATTTTCAGCGCTGCATCGTTTGCCGTTAAACCATTTTTCTGAGAAGATTGGCGCCACAACAAACATGACAGTTTTCTTCAGTAACGAAACTGATGCTTATAAAGTAAACGGTGGATAAGTCAAAGAACATAAGCCAATCAGTACCATTGTTGTACTATCTCAACAGAAATTGGTTTGAATTGAGGTAAGCGTCTAGTTTATGTTTTTTACATCGACATTAGGCTGACTTTCACATAAATGACCGCTACTCCTGGTTAAATCGTATAAACGAGTTCTTCAGATTTTATTTATTGCTAGACGTGTAGATCGATTTACGATGTTGGCACTTTTATTTACATATTTTCTTCTATTTCAAATGTAGAATGGGTCTATAAATAGCGACAGTGATTAACCTTTGGAAGAAACCAATTAACAAGGTGAACGTGTTGCCATTTTCAGTCGATGAACATGCGGATAGAACTCTTGTCGAGCAATGAGTGTGAAATATAATTTCTCTTTAGTCTTTCATTGTACATGTACACACCAAATCGGATTTGGTGTTTGCTCTCGGTGGTTAATTAAAATTAACTAGTTCTATATCCGAAGCGCATTAGCCATCAGGCATTTCGCCTAATTGGCGAATAATGAATATTATGGAAAAAGTAATCAATTTGGTAGCAAACATTCATACAAAACGCTGTGTTTAAGGACTATCACACGATGTACATGGGGTGTTTATCGCGATGTTATCACACCTACAGACAAGACAAACATACATTTCTCTATATTTGCATGCATTGTCACGCTAAATCGTTCAAACTTCTTATCGCTGATACGAGCAATTCTTGTGGAAATTAGCACCAACACCACATACACACACAGAACACATCTAATTACTGTCATTCGTATCAACTGTTTAGTATTTCCACTGCATTCACTGGCATTGGTAACTCTCAAATGTCACCCAAATTAGCTGAAATAACTTTTGATTTGATTAATTTAACATCAATCGGAGATGAAGCCATTGTGGCGGTTCAGTTGAATCGCAATGAGAGTGATTTGTTGTTTCGAAAACACTTTTGATGTTTCATTCATGCGTTTGATGTCTACACGATGCCAAATCTAAGTTTTAATTATTTAGGATTCGACTGACAATGATTAAATTCGTGGCGCAAAGAGAAGAGGTGTGCTAATGACTTGTACGTTTACATAAACTAACTAGCTGAGTCAAATAGAGAAAAGTTTTCCAACAAACGCATGCTACATAATTTACATATATTCCCTCACATACAGTTTTAAAGCCAGCACATCGTGCTGTAGCTTCGAATAATTTACATAGGGTTTATGCTGTAACAGTTCTTCGTCTGCTTCAGAAACTCAAAGTCACAGAATATTATTATTGTTGCTGTAAGTACAGCATTGGAAAAGGAAATTAATTAGTACGTGATCTGTGCAACATGAAACTTCGTTCACTCTTTCAGTCTTTGGGGATTGAATTTTTTTTTTGCAATTTTGGTTAATTATAGTTGGAGACAATATTTTCTAACATACATATAAATTCTACGAATAATGACGCGAAAATGTAAATGGATTCTCATAAATCAATGACATATCCAACACAAATACATGGAATTCCATTTTGGCGCGTCCGAATGTCATGTAACTTTTATACCCATACATCAAGTTCGAATTTTCTAAGTTACAGGATAAATTTTGCGACAGGATTTTGACAATTGACGCAAAAGATGGCCATTTTACAAAACTACATTCATTATCAACGAACAACGGATGTTGCCTAATTTAATATTTCCCGCAGGAACTTAACGAATTGTAAAATTTCGAACCGCAAACAATTTTCGTGTGATATTTTCAGAGTAGATTTGAAGCATATGTTAATAAAACGAAAGGCGATTGAATTTCGTGGTTTTGTGACAACGGATCGGGCAATTTATACATTTTCCTTCCGATGGAAATCCAAAAATACATCGTCTGCTAGTTGTTTACTGGTTTTTAGTGTACATAAGTACACACAAACACAGTTACTGACCACGAATTCAGCATTGTGCTTGTGCTTGTGTGTCTACGAGTCATCGAAACTTATGCAAACGCTGTGTTTGGCTCAAGCCAAATATGGAAAAGCGAATGTTATTTTTGCCGTTGACCAATTTAATAGAAGAGAAATGGTTTGTCTGCTGTGCGGCTTAACACAATTATGCGATTCGGAAACGTGAGACGAAAATATAAAGCATAAACACAGCAGATATAAATATTTATTGCATAAATTTTACAGGATAATTTTGTATGCAAATTGCATACTATAGTTGTAACTTCAATTAAATTTTCGTCTATCCATTGACGTTTTATCGTGCACTGGCCACCACCACTGCCGTCGCCTCCAATGCCGCGAAGCCCAAAATACAAACAAAAACTTGGAGAAAATTAAACGAGCAGAAAAATGACTTTTCGTTGTTGTGACTCCGATACAGCGAAGCACATGAAAATTGTCTGTATACGGATACATACGCAGACATTACGAATACGAATAAAACAAAGTTTACGGCTGCGGTTTTTGCAACGAGAGTCATAATAATTTTACGCTGAATGTTACAACATGAAAACTAATTTAATTTACTTGAAATGCGAAATTCTGAAAAGGCACCTTTTCTGCTTCTCTTGTGAACTTTTTTACGAATTTTTTCATTTGCAAATGATAATGTTTTTTAATACGTCGACCCATTTTTCTGTGCTATCGAAATTGACATACACATTGCAAATCAGGACCGTCATCTATTTTTAAATATAAATTAGTAAAGAAGGGAAAAATTGACTAAAATAATTTTTTCAAATATGGAATCGGCACGAGTTTGTAAATTCGCTGTTTTTATAAAACACATTTTCGTGTTCACGACAATTCACGACAATTCGCTTCCATTGTAAAGAGCTTAAATACCAAAATCATAAGTATATTTTCGCTGGTTTTTGCTGTTTTATTGCGACAGTGATCAAATGAAGCATAAAATTTATGAGAAACAGTCGCACTGTTTAATGATGAATACAATTTTTTTTATTTCAAGTGGAACTTTTCGCCTTTACATCGTTAGTTTCATTCGCATGATCTGCTTGAGTGTAAAATATTTTATGTGAATTGTGAAATGTAGTGAAAAAAATGTGTTGCACTTACTTTCGTAATATCCATCGGGGCAAACTTGCAAACAGACTGCCAAGTCGACGACATGCAAATGAGCTGGAGCACATGTTAGACATGAATCTTGGCCGGCACCAGCACATGTTTCACAAGATTCGTGACATGCCCAACAAACGCCACCCTGATTTGGGAAACTACGCGGCGGACAGCGACTCACACATGTACTGTGTAAAATGAATAAATAAATTCCATGAAACATTCGGCCTGTAAATTGCATGAAAATGATTGTTAAACTTACTTATCGAGACGATAGCGTTTACAGGCAACACATTGTGTGGGGCCACGTCCATAGCATCCTTGTTGATCACATTCCGGATCGCAGTCGTGCAATACGATTTTGTTGTTTGAATCGGCCATTACGTTTTCACGTTGTGGAATCGGAATGTTGTGTCCATCGAGAGTGGTAATTGCCGCTTCTGGGTTGCTAGCAGCTTGACTGTATACGCCGGGATAATATGTGTACAGATCGGGATTGTAGTTGTAGTTAATTGGCTGAATGGGTGGCGTAAATTCCGATTCCGTTGGACTTGGATGCGAATAGCGATTTTGTTCGCTTCTCATTCGAATTGGATTGGTTTGGGTTCCGTAGAAGATCAATTGCCACTTTGATAAAATGCCCGGTTGATTAACACGTCGACGGCCGCCATTAATAATTTGCAATCGCCAACGACCTTCAGCCTTCTCGCCCCAGAAGTGTACACTTAAAAATGGCCAATCGTCAAAATTACTCTTCACAACATCGCGTGGCCGCTCAAACAACAGTGTGCTAACGGTGCCCATTGGTGATGTCAGAAGAATACGTAAATTACCACGAGGAAAGAAACGAAGTGTTATTTTACACTGAACATGCTCCAAAAACTGAACTTCGTTGAGAGTTCCAGCACAACCGTTGACATCCATGTGCGTTTCCAATGTATAGCCAACTGAACCATCAATTCTGCGGTCCTCATTAATTTCCCGAGCTGTGAATTGAAACGAGCGAAATGCAAGTGTCATTACATTTACTACAAATTTTGGCCAAAGGAATTCAACATTTGTGCATTGAATTTGGTGAATTTATTCTTTTTTCTCTCAATACATTTTCTTTTCACCGAAATGCCATAAATTGGCAATGAAGCAAGCGTTAAATGCTATGCGCTTCACTCTCGGTGCACGTGTGTTTACATTTTTATTTTCGTTGCTATACTTACATTTGCAAATGTGTTGTGATGGCACCGGAATCCAATCTTCTGCAAAGTTTACCATTTTCCCAGCATCCATTAGACCGTATCCGAATTTATGGCTTACTTTTCGTTGTACACCATTGACAATCCAACCGCTTTCCTTCTCCAATGGTTCGGCCTTCGATGTTAATACCACCAAAAATTGTAAATCACGCCAAGTTAGTGTCGGATTCGCTTGCAGGGCCAATGCACATATGCCGGCTGCTAATGGGGCTGATGCCGATGTTCCAGTGTGTTCGACGGTACAAATTCGGTCCGGTCGCAATCTAGCATCCATGTCAACGGTAGCGACACTTTTATCGTGACCAGGAGTGCCAGAACTGTATGTTGTAGCCAATGTTGATGAGCATTCTTCCAAATACCATGGCTTAAACCTGAGCACAATCAAAGAAAAACACATTTTATTATTTAATGAAAAATCGTCATTGTGAAGTAAATCAAAAGGCTTGCGTGAAGGTGGGTAAATTTTAAGGATCGGATATGATTTTTTGTATCGATTTATTTGGCATTTAGAAGTGGTGTCACAGAGAATTCGGAAAACCAATGATGAATAAATCACCATGCGTCTAGAAAATCGGCGCAATACTTGGATTAGCATGAATGAAAACCGTGACATAAACGGCTTCTAAGAGCTTGGATTAATATTTATCTTTCGTCTCTTCATGTTCATCGTCTTGGGAACGAGTGTTCAATGTCTATACGATAAATGTCCGCTTCACGCGTTGCCTCCCTTCTCACCCTTGTTACTTTATTCTATCGCAAATCTCCTTTGTTTATTCAGTCCAATGGAAGCGACAAAATGAAAACGGGAATCCTATTATGGGATTCCCATCCGAATGTTGGTTGAAATGAATCGCTTTCTGCTGTATTTGCACTTTCTTATCAAAGTAAACAAAACGATTTAATCGACTTTGTGCGAGCATTCGGATGGATGGGAAATGGGCATCGTAATTTTGGCAACGCGCGATTCAAGGAAAACAATAGCGATGTAAGACATTCTCTGAGTTGAATGATTTATGATTTTACTCACCCTCCTTGTGTTGCGCTCGAAATCGATAGTGTGAATATTGAGTTGGTATAACCATCACAGTTGCATGAGTCTGTGTAGCGACCTCCATTTCCACTGGCCCAAACGAAAATTGATCCTTTGCCTTGGCGACCACTCGTAACGCCATAAATAAATGCACGTCGTGCCAACGGACCCGGCCCATCTACCGTTGAACCTAATGATGATAATTATTTTAATTCTCTTCCAATGAAAAAAAATGTATCTTTTTCAGAAGAAAGAAATTTTTAGAAGAAAAACTGTAACAAACCATCATCCTCAGGGCCCCATGATGCACTATAAATATCAATGTGATGTGGATTCAAGCCGAGCGCCTTCGCCTCAACCGCATCGTTCACGCTGCCATCCAACATACGAACGCCTGTTAATAAACAACAACAAACAAAATCATAATCATAAATAAGCAAAAAAAAGACATAGAAAAATTGCATATTAAATGGATTTATCTCAATTTAGAAAGCCATTTCTGCGTTCTTGCTCACAGATGAGTTAAACACATGACTATCCCATCTATGCATACATTGGCTTGGCTAGGCTAAGTCATATAAATGTTACGAAAGGAGCAAGCCCAGAAAAAAATTGTCATAAACCCCAACACGACGCCAAATATTGGGTTTCGTGCGAGCAATGCGAGGTCAGACTTTATTATCATGGCAAAATATAGTAAAAGAGTCTTAACTTTTATGCCATTTTCATGTTTTGTGTGCGTTTGTGTATCTGTGATGCTTCCATGCAGTGTGCTTTATATATATGCGATTTCATAAAGAGAGCCGGAAGAATAATAGCCGCCGATGATTAATATCGAGCAAGCATACCAAAAAAGATACACAAACTGAGCAAACTAAGTGAGCAAACGAGCTAGCGAGCGAGAGAGAGAGAGGGAGTGAGTGAGTGATGAAGTAATCTATTTTTTTGAATCAAAGAGAAAATTACGACAAACGCACAAACACCAGAAATAATAAAAATGTATGAGGCACGTTTATTTTGTTGGTAGTGTTGGAAAGGCATGCCTTTGTCGCCGCCGCCACCACGCTGCTGTTGCTAGTGTCTCGCCTAACACACTGGTGCGTACGGTGCAATTTATCGAACATAAAAGGATCACAAGCCAAATCCAACAAGTCACTCTTAATGGCTAGTCACCACATCACATCACCGAAAGCATCTTTTTAATCGCATTTTCTTTCGCATAATTCTCTGCCTTGTTCCCTCGATTTGTTATTATCTTTCTGGTGTTTTTCTTTTATTTTTCGCTCACTCTCTTTCCCCGTTCTGGTTTCTCCAGTGCCTCGTTTAATGAATTTTGTGAGCGTCCGCACTTAATCTTCTAATATCCGGCATAAACCATTAAAAACACATACCATAAATGAAAGCAACAACAATGCAACCCACATAAACCATACGGAATCTGTGGAATCTTGGAACGAAAACAACTTCGGTGCCGCGCCGTACTTTTCGTCATGAAAATTGAATTAGAATTTGATTCTGGACTTTTATTCTTACCACCAAGAACCATTTCCGAAAAGATGGCTTTGGAAATTTACACATAATTTAACAAAAATAATGCAAAATAATTGGGAAATGAACGGATTCCGAAAAATTAAACGCCATGCTTAAGTAGAAAAAAACGCTCTTACCGGAAAAATTATGGCTTATCACATTATTAAAACATACAGCAAACGTTGGTTTGTGTACAGAAAAAAGTTTTTCCGCCAACTCGATTAGCGCTCGAAGTTTATCTAAACTGAACTGAAAATGTGATGTGAAGCTTTCAAAAGCGATCACATTTCGATCGACTGCATTTTGACACGTAATCCGAACATGCTAATTAACTCACGTTCAATTTATATCGAATGGAAAGCACGTCGTTGTACACTGTACAGTGTACACAGAATTTGAGCGCTTTCATTTTTACGTCAATCATTCGTTCAGTTTTTTATTCGCTTTTTTGTGCCATGCAAAAAATGACGAAAACTGAAAGAGCACATCCACTGGAATGAGGAAATATAACTCGATCCAATGTTTGTTTTCCTTTGTTATTTGCTTCGGCACAATTGACTTCCGTTTTGCTCAATGGATTTCGGATATACTGGCTTTTGACCCCCCGAATGTTGCTTCTTGCTCATAATTTCTGACAAAAAATAATTGAATCGAAGTTGTTTGCTTTTTGAATTATTCCCTCTTGGCTTTGGGCATATTTCACTCAAAGCAAACTTGCGCATTGATTCACAGCATATCAGCAAATTTTTGTTGTTGCTCATTTTTCTTCTTCGATACCAATGAAATATTGATTACATCTGGACATTTCAATCAAAAGACGTTTTTAGGAAAAGTTTTCTTTTGAAATGAAATTGAAATCGACAAAAAAGAGAAAAGAAAACCCGTTTTTTCGGTGCAATTGAAACGATAAAACCTTCTTTACCAGCGAAGGTACAGATATCAAATAAAGTCTGCCATGAAAAATGCGAATCGAAAACACACTTATTAAATGAATAAAAAAAAAATTCGTTTGAACAACATCAAAGTGAAAATGCAACAGAGCCAGTCCGATTGAATAATGCGCGGCAAGCGACTGCCTCAGTTGATGTTTATTGTATTTATTTTGTGATTTTCAATTTAATTTAGTCCTGTTCACAATTTTTTTCTCCCCCGCCCTCTCACTCTCTTTCTCTTCGTTGCCATCATCTGAAGACACTTGAATGCGTTTGAGTTTTGGCGAATGTATCGAGAGAAAAAGAAGAAATGGTTAAGTGTTTTTTCACTCAATTGAAAGCGAAGGCAAACGAATGAATTAAAGCAAAAAGTACCTCAAAAAATCTGATTCATTGCCAATGTAAACACAAACAAATTTCATTTGGTATTTCAAATCAAGGTATGAACGTCGTTCTATGTTGACGTCTCTCGCCAAATGTATTCAATCAAAGCACATGCACAAAGTGCCAACACAAAAATTCAATTTCATCATTTTTAGCAACAAAGTCATGAACACGTTTCGGGTGATGACATTTTGTCGTCTCACGTACATTCATCAAGCGCATAAAAAATGGCATTCATCCCTACAGATTTTCAACCCAATGAAAATGAATATGAAAAAAAAAAATTGAAGGCGAAGCATGCAAAAAATCATGATAATAAAAGAGCAAGGGAAATAAAACGCACCGATTATGATGGCGATTATTCTCGACACGTTTTTTTCCATGCTTTTAACGAAGAAAAATATCAAAGTGTGTGGTTACACACAATTTAATTTCAGACTTGTGGCAACCGAATTATATTGATACAAAGGGAGTAAATGAAATTTAATGTAATAAAACTGAGTCAACGCCGGTGTCTTGACGCATAAACTAAACATTTTTGCAATTCCATTATTGTTCGGGAACGATTGCGCTCTGAATCGATAATCGAAATAACAACATTTCGGAATAGCAAGCAATTTGTCGTCTGAAACTGGTGCTTCAAATTTCATGTGTATACGGAGGAGATCTAATGGTATTTAGAACACAAATTGCCTATTAGTGCGGACAAAATATCGAAATCGAATCGTTGGCCCAGTGTTTTTGTATTCGTTGCCGCTTGAATTATTAAACGGGTAAACAAATGTCTTGTGTGCACAAAATTTTATCCACTTTCATTTTTGGAATTAGAACTGGCAGTTTTCGAAAGTGGAGTTCAGGCAAAGATTTGATCAGACTTTAAAATACTCGAAATGAAATATTTCGATGGTTTTGCGTTTTACTTGTGTGGAAAACTTCTGAAGAACGACATAGATGCTTTTCTATTCCCCCAGCAACGAGAATCGTTCACAAATACGGCCCCTGTTTGTGTAGACACAAAAACACCTTCTCAACAAAGTATTGGAACCGTTTCCGAAGTCACAATAGAATGAACATAACCGAAAAATAATGACTGTAATTTGAAAACTTTCGACCCAGCTTCATTAAAGATTGGACGCTCTGACCCGACTCTGCTTTGTTCCACTGTTGTTGTTTCCCATCGAAAAACGAAAACAATGTAAAACGCTTATGAACAGCCGGTAATTTCCGAAATTCAAAGACTAAACCATAGCAAAATACAATTTGCAATTTAATGTGAAAATCACAAACATTTTAGCTCATATGCCGGCATCAAATCAGTTTCATTGTTTGGCCAATGAACAAATATCGCAAGCCAGAGTTTTGCACATGCAGTTAAAATCTTTTTATGACCGATATTGTTGTTGCTATCATTAATGTAAACAAAATTTTCAAATAGTTTCCCATGTCACTTGCAGCAATCATTCGTGTATTATGTGTTTATAATGTAAAGATGCATTCGCTTCCGTCCCCGAGGACCACTGCTATCGTAATGTTCCTAAAACAATGACATTTAGTGCCTCTGTTAAAGGCCATTCGAACGTTATTAGTGAGTATAATTTATGAGAGCACCACAAATGGTTCCTTTTTTTTTCATTTCAAGCTCGAATTGTGCATGTAAAATTTGTTTTCGAAAATCGAAATCAAATATTATTGCGTAAAAAGTCACTGACGGAGCAATGCTACACGTAATGCATGTGGTTGAAGAATTTAATTAAAAAGTACTTTCTGGTGAAAGAGACCCCACAGCCATTCAACTGGAATATATCCGCTTTCATTTTTTTTTTTTCGCAGATGCGCTTTAAATTTGGTTGTGAATCAATCATTTTTCACCAATATTCCCGAAGATATGAATGATAGACACCGTCTTTTGTTCATGAAAATGCCATTGAATCATCGGGATGGAAAAACGGAAAATTTCGAGAAAGAAAAAATAGCAATTTCGATGAATGCGATGGGTAAAGGCTTTGCCAGAACAAGTGACAGCAATGAACTGAATAAGAGATATACGTGTAAAAATGGTTCAACTGCGAAACAAACAATGACTAACATAATCAAAAACTGATGATAATCAAACTCATGGACGATTGAAAAACAGCTTCATACAACGTTTCACACATTTTTTTTATGTTCAGCATGATCCAAAACGAGTGTAATGAATATTGGGAATTGTGTCTATTGTAAATGGTTAATTAAATCATACATGCTCCGCTGCATCAACGCCATTCGATTCATGTTTTCATACTCAAATGTTTCAATGGAATAGCAACTCATTTGAAATGTGCATGTGCTTGTGAATTGAAAATAAATTGACTTTAAATTGAACCAAAGGCTGACTTAATTGTTGAGTAGGAAAAATCGTACAGCGATAATTTGTGACTACGAAATTGGTTAACTTTTCAATTCTATGGGCGCTGCCATATTGAAAATTTACGTGCGATATGATGCACGCACTCAATAGTCCCACTTATTTTAATAAGGAATCTCTATAGGTGGCGCTGCCACATCGTCATTGACATCGAGTCAAATATTGTCAAATATAATAACATTCTTTATATAGGCTTTTATCGCAGTACGGGAAAAATGCAAACATACGTTTTCCGATGGCTCAGCATCTCAGCATTTCGTATCTGTGGATATATCCGAGCATATCGACGATGCAAGTCACTGTATAAGTGGCGTGTGTCTATGCGCACAGCTACATCGACTACACACAAACACTGCGCTCTCTGTTTGTGTGTAGAACTCTCTGTTTGTGTGTAGTCGATGTAGCTGTGCACATCACAGTGACTTGCGTCGTCGATATGCTCGGATATATCCGCAGATACGAAATGCTGAGATGCTGAGCCATCGGAAAACGTATGTTTAGAAAAATGACGGATGAATCGCGCATTTAGAAAAATATGACTCAATTTTTTAAATGAAATTCTTCAACAAATTGATAAAATCAAATAATGCAGAGAGTATTTATACAAACAATCCAACAATTCTATATCTGATAAATTCATAAATATTTATTTTGTTACTGTGAAAAAGTGACGTAACTTATTAATTGTGGCGAGGGGATTTTGTTTATGTATCAATGAATGAGAAGAAGTAAACAAATTGGCTTGTTTCTTTGCACGCACACATACACTTTGCAGCGCTTTCGAATGGTGTCTGACGTGCTCTGTGCCAATAAATCCTAATTATCAGAATTATTATCGTGAATTTATCGTAAATGGTAGGCCGTTGAAGATTTTGTTATTCTTCTGCGTTGCCGTTATTTTTTTCAGCGTGTATATTCAGGCAGATTGCTTTGGTCGCGTCCGATTGGCGCCGTGCATGCATGCGTCAGGTATTTGTATTTATATTTCTTCTGTTCTGTCGAGAAAAAAAATCTTTCTTCAACTTTGTTCAAGTATTTGTTTTGAAGCTTTGAGGCTTAAATGTTTTTTCCTCATTTCGTCCACTTGAGTAGCATGTGGGCCAAAAATTGCCGTCTATTTTACTTCGACTTAAATTTATGATGGTGTTAGCAAAGTAATTGTTTGCTCTAAAAATAAAATTTGGATTCTTTTCCTTGACATTGAGTCGAATATCCCGGAAAAATAATAAATCAACTTTTTCTTCTTCTCGTTCGATAGTCAATGTTGGAATCCTATGGATTTTAGTATATACACCGTTTGATAAAGGTTTCCTCACATTTCATAGATTCTTTTATATCAAATGAATTCAATTTGAATTTTTTTTCCTTTGTGTGTGTGTGTGTGTGTGTGTATGTTGGAAGTTTTAATTATGAGTGGCATTGCTTTGTTGGTGGTGGTGGTAAGCAGAAAAGCTGATGAAAAAGTGTAGCTTTTTTTTGCAATTTAAGCCTTGCTACGGGCATATTGATCCCTCGAGCGTATGTCATTTGATTAGTGTTTACGCATGTGTGCATTGTAATTTCTCTGGTGGGGATGACAACACGACAATAAACCATATTTATTGTCCGATTTTTCATTTTCAACTAATCCTGGTTGAAGTTACAACGTGTGAGCGATGCACGAGCTTAAGACCAATGTCATTTTTGTTGGTTCGTTGGCATTTGATCCGATTCACGAGCGCTCATTTTTTTTTCGTTGTTGCTGTTGCTGTTGCTGTCGTTGGTTCGTTACACACACGCACGCCTTTTCAAATACTATTTAATAAATTTTCAGCATCGTAACACAAAATGGACCCAATCGTCAAACAGATCCGAATACACAGCCAGCACACCACCAAAGGCAGTAATCACAAAAATTGGATCGAACGATAGATTGCACGAGCAACAACAACAACAACAACAACAAAAACTCGGCGAAAATATATGACGCCAATGTAAAAATTCGAAAAAGAATAAAAAGTTGCATGACGATTACGGCACACAAAAGAAGATTAAATAACGTTCGCGCATCAGCGAAAATAATGGGGAAAAATACAAACCAAACAGCAAACAAAGCTAGTTAGAGTGAACAATGGTGTCGACAAAGAACAAATGCTTTTTTTCTGTCACCCATTCACACATATTCATAATATGGACGATTCTCGCAAAGTGAAAGCGAGATGCAACGATGGAGCTGTGAGTGGATGTAGAATGATTCAGGGGTATGCTTTCAGCATATAGAGAGCGAGAAAGAGGGAGAGAGAGATAGAGAGAGATAGAGAGAGAGAGAGAGTAGAAGAGAAGAAGTGAACGTGGAACATCGTTCGGTTGATGCACAGCACACACACACACATACATATCGAACAGATGGGTCATTTTAAAAAATATCGCCTCCGCAAAAAAAAAACTTCGCCAAGGGAAAAACGCACTGGTGTCCAAACTTTGAAAAACAGATGAAAATTAACAAAATGAATAGGAAAAACACAACGTCATGACAAGATCCAACAAATACCCACGAAAATATGCACATGGAATGAATAAATCTCCAGGAATAACAAACAGCTAAAGAGCAGAGGGAGAGAGGGAGAGGGAGAGAAAAAAAGACCGAACGGAAATGATCACATAAAACCAAACCAAACAATACGGAATCGGTGATATGATGACAACAATAGCAAAAAATCCGATACAATATACGGACGTGTGTATTTGGATCAAAGCAGCTTTTTCTGGCTATTTCGTGCTTTAAACAGTCGCAAAACACAGCAACACGCAAACATATGTACTATCTCTCTCTCTATGTCTCTCGCTCTGTTATCATCACTTTCAGAACAATTCCTCTGCTTTTTTGTCAGCTACCACGGAAAATAAATTCAATTGCTTTCGTTGTTGCGAAAAAATACATAACAAAGTCAAGCATCAAACAAACTATTTGACATTTTAGCCATCACGTAACCAGAGCTGTATGTTTTCATTGCTTTAATTTGATCTCTTAACTATCGATTTAATCTCGTATCGTGTTCGTTTGCATTTGATGAAGTCGAAAATACGTAGCAGAAATACAATTATCTTTGAGAAAATGTAAATAGTCTGGAGATAAACAGAGCGATACGCATGGCGATGTTTCAACAATTTCGCAAATTAAATGCATAATTCCGATGCGATTTCGTGCAGTACAATAATGAGATTCAGAAGATATAACATTCCTATGTGAATCAATAACGTATGAATTTTTCAAAATATTTCAACATATTTACATGTCATTCGTTCGGGGAATTTCATGAAAATTTAACATTGCCAACCAAACGTTGAACGAAAATAAAAATCAACAGAATTTTTAACGTTCATTTTTCCATGTTTGTTGCATTTCGATCGAGAAATTCTGACATATTAGAGAATCATATGAAAAGTATTCAATTATATAAAGCGAATGAATGCCAACAACGTTTGTTTAATCAAGCTAATAAAAATGTCTTTTTTTTCGTAGAAGCATAACGCGCTCAAACAGTCGTGCTATGGTGAAATGCAATTTTCCAAATGGATTCAAATTTGTTCACAGTTTCTTCGTCATTTTTCTCATTTCATTTAATTCTATTTGTCATGTTTTTCATTGTTTTCTCTTTTCCGTTTTTTTTTTCGATGTGCGAATTAGAAAAACCCGTTGGGACCTGCACGAGGATAAATTGGGCAGAGACTCGACTCGACTGTAGATTTTAGACTGTATGAATACAAGACTTACCTCCAATACTGGCATTGTATGCAACACCAACGCCGCAAAAGCTGTTAAATGCAACAGCAGCCACTTCACCAGCACATCGTGTTCCGTGCTTATTATCACCATTATCCTGAGGCATTGGATCTGAACGTCAAAAATAATGGGAAAATCGTTAAAATAAAATCGTCGACAAAATGAACAAAAACGATAAAGGACAAAAACGTCAAAAATCCATATATATTTTTTTGGTGGCCAAAATTCAAAAACGTCAAAATAATCAAGTATTCTTCAAATGAAAATTGGCAAAATCGTCAGAAATTATTAACAAAATGGAGTAAATTTTATAGATAAACGAAATTCTTCAGGTGATTCTGTTTTTTTTTTTTTTGGATTAGAAAAACCAACTTATTTTGAATTTAAATTCATAGCTTCACAGTCTGAATTGATTTAAAAAAATGTCTGCATCAAAATTCAACTCATAGACTCGTTGATTTACGTTTTGTTCATAATCATTGAAATCTGTTGTAAATTTACCTTGCTGATAAAATCAGAATTACCTAAAGAATTTCGTTCATCAAAAAACTTTTTTCCAATGAAAATTGTTTTTTGACGATTTTGTAATTTGTAATTTTCGACGCTTCATCATTTATTTTTTTTTAATTCATTTTGTCTTTTGATGATTTTGCTAAATATTTTTGACGTTTTTGTCATTTTTCTGACATTTATTCAATTAACCTGAATCATTTCCATTGATGTCGTAGCTAGCATCCGGATCCTGAAACCAAGACAAATAAAAACACATTAGAAACGCTGTCTCTCTTTTTGTACACCATGCATTTGCTATTCGCTCACAAAATAAATAACAAGCCGAAACGAAAAAAAAATTCGAGTGGGAAAAAAGAGAAAAAAACGAAATGAAAATTGTACATTGAAACAGTTAACAGTTGAGGGTGTTTTAAGGAGCAGTTTAAAAATGGATTGCTATGGTGCACATTTGCAATGGTGACTTTTCACATATCTGCCATTGAAACGAGCATTCGAGCAAACGTGTTTACGGAGCTGATTGCACTTGATTTTTTTTCTCGTTTTCGTTAGGTTCGCTCATTTTATTGTCGTCCACGTCTAAATATTGTTGTTTAGCGGGCGGGTGTATACGCCATAAAGAATGCAATATTCAAAATAAACGCCGTTGCAAAATTTCCAACGCAAACAAACATAATGCAACAACACACGAGTAAACGACATCTTCACTCCATTTTGCACTTGAGCGTATTACCACGGCGTGTTTGTTTTTGCAAATGCATTTCTTGAAATGGAAACTTTGAATTTTGCATACAGTGGCATACAGAATCGTGCTGTTTTTTTTCTGATTCTGCATTAATAAAAAGACTATGGTGATGATGTAATCATGAACTGTTGGATTGGGGACGTCCTATAATGAATTTTCCTTCTGAATTTTCGCTACGTTTTATGCGCCTGCTCTTTCGACCAGCAACAACATCGAACATTCACCTATTTTCCCCCTACGAAGGAACGTTTCAGTCATTTTAGTGATGTCTGCAAATTTTATGCGGCGTTCATGAGCATTACCATCTCCTCGCAATTTTGCTGTAAAACTAACAATGAATTTTTCTTTGGAAATATTTGTAAACTATGATCAGGCTATGTCATTAAAGTGAACAGGACATTTGTTATTTCAGTTATCGCTGGCATTCCAGTTTTCGGGGTGCTAACGAGCGTGTGAGTGTGAGACTGAGATCGAGAGCGAGAGCGAAAGAAACTGAACACGTTCAAGAAATTTCTCGTCATTATTGTGTATGTGTGCGTTGTGTGTATGGTGCGCTCCACGCTCTTTGTGTATTTATGTACTTATAGAGCACTTTTAAACAACTCGTCACGAAACATCTCGTCGTTGCTTTGTTTTATGTCCGGGCGTGTGCACTTCAAGCAGCTGCTCGCTTTATAAATTGTTTTTACATCATTGGCTAAGTCGTGTTTTGACTTTTGTTACGTCATTTCCGGCTCTCCGTCGGGCAAACGACAACAGGCAGCAAGAAAAAATGCGTCAGTTTTTTTTAAAATATGTATTACCAAATGTAATTAAATGCAGAGCGTCAACACGCAAAAGTCTCGGCCGATGAGGTGTTCACCGAACAGAATGAAAGCGGAAATGAAGTTGACGAAATGAACAGCATGGACTAGCAAATTATTTGCTGTTATAGTTGGAGTAATAATAACACAAAAAATTATACCTAATCATAGCAATAAATGTAATAATAATATGGGGAAAACGATACGGAAAATTATGATGGAAATCAGGTTGAACCGAACAAAGCAACAACAGCATAGAAAAAAACCATAAACAATTTGAACTGGAATGTGCAAAATCCAGGCGAATTACGAGCCCGCGAGTGAACAACACAATGAGTACACTGCATTCAGTATGCGCTGCGCATTCTGTGTTGTTGGTCATAAATTTTTTGGATATTTGCATGCAACGAAATTCTGACCCTATGACGGCTGCTCTTTGCCTTTCAAATATAACATTTGGTTTAAGTATTCATTAGAGTTTTCTGTTTTACGATCGAAAATTGATGGCAAGACTGTTTCGACGGATGTAAAGTGATTTAATGGCTCATGACTTGAACTTCTTATTTATAAGCAAATACGACAAACAAGGAAAAATACGCGTCAAGTGTGCTCCACCATTCTAAAATCAAATAGATTAAACGATTTTATTGATGCTCGCATTTCCGTCGCTCGGCGCTGTGAACACTTCACATTTCCACGTCATCATCAATTCAAAAGCATTTTCGGTCGGTGTTAAGGCAAACACGTCAAGCGTTACCATGCTACAAGTTCGGTTGAATTCATCAAACGCAATCACTGTCAACGCGTATATCTTTGACGAACCGAATGTCATTTGTTACTTTGATCACGCAGCATTCATTTAATTTATGATTCTTACTTCTTTTGCGTGTCATTTCATTTATTTCACTCAATTTTACTTTGTCGCTTCAACAAGAACCTAAAGTTAAGCGCTAAAAACACGAAATTATCACCTGTGAGATGAATGACAAATAATTTATTAAAATCAACTTTGCTTTTTTTTTGTCTTCTTCTATTCTAAATTTGGAAGCCACTCGACGGTATGTCCTTTATTTTTTTTTAGTCAACTGGATTTCAACAAGGGAAACGCAATGAGAAAGTTTAGGTATATACATGTATACATGTTCTATAAAACTGATTGACTGATTGAAGTCTACGGTTCGAAGGGTCTTCATTTATTTACATTGGATGCAACTTTGAAGATAAGGGGAACACATTTAATCCATAGAATAAACAATGGGCTTTAGTTTTATCAGAGAACGTGATGTATTGTACAGCTTAGAAATTCCTGGCATTCATTGGGCATGTGCTCGATTCTTGTGTTTTCACAGTCCAACAATTTTGAACGAACTGTGTTCTTACTGCTTTGTTTTATGCGGATTAAATCGAGTTTGAAACGGAATTTCTCGTGTAACTTGGCAATTATATCTTCCTTTCTAAGTTATCAAGTGGCCGAGAAACTTTTGCATATTTTGCATATTTCGTATTCATGAATAGAATACATGTGAAATCGCCTTACTTTCCTAAATAGAATACTTGAAATTTGATTGTAATGTTGGATGAAAGAATATAGCAATAAAATTCAGTCTGTTCAGGTGAGTATCGACGCTAAATGCATCGAAATGGTTTTGTTCGAAAAATTTTGGAAGCCAAGAAAAGCCTGCAATAAATTGCTGCAAATGATTTATTTCGTTCGCTAAAGTTTAAAGAAAATACGAAAAAAATTTCGTTTAATCACTTTAAGGATTGTTTTTAATGCAAAAAAAATTTGTGCTTCGATTCGATGATTCTTCTATTTTGTCATGTCTGTTTTAATGGCTAAATTTTCAAGTTTTTTTTTCCATTCATGTTACATTGTCAAATGCGCTTAAAGGTTCAAAATAAACTTCGTGTTGTTGTTTTATTTATTTCGGTCAAATTTTTGCGGTTCTTTTCCATTGAAATTGAAAAACTTTTCAACATCAAAGAAATGCGAATCTTCTTATCGTGTGCACAAACACACACCCACAAATTGAATGCCATTAAAAAAAAGCCCGCATAAACAATTCAATTTTCATAATGTTCAACAAACACATACAAGAAATGGGGAGAAAAAAACTCAGTTAAAATCCCTTTATGGTGGAATTTGCGAAAAGTTTTATTATTCGTGTGTCTGCACAACGGCAAATAACAAATATTGAGGATTCAATGGAATCACTCTGCACTGTACTCAAATTAAATTGAAAATTTATGAAAATTGCTGGCTTTATTCAAACAACGGAAAAGTTTGTCGAGTAAATCAGTAACATGCATTGTATTTGACATTGAAATCCATTAAGCAGGCGTCTGAAGATTGACTCCGACATTTAAACAATTAATTTTACAGCTTTCGATGACTTTGCTTATTACACACAAATTACAATCGAAATATTGAAAGGAAAAATGTTTGATGCTGAAACATTGAAATTTTAGGTGATGAAACATATTCGGCGAAGGAGATGTCACTTTTGTTTTTCTAACGAAGTTTGTGTTTTCTAACGAAGCAAAAAATTCACTTGTAGTTTTGACTGAAGAGACAGGATTCAAAATGAAAAGACAACAAGAATTGAAGCATGAATGCGTTTAGTGTCACTATGAGTTTTTCGGATGCATAAAGCAGTCCCCGATTTCGCAGCACAATACATTTATTAGCATTTATTTGTTGTGAAGTTGGCCGGCTGGACGAGTATCTAGTATTAAGCTTGCACCGATGTGATAACTACAGTCAATTATCAGTTTTAAATGTCTGGATGGCACAGAACGAGCTCAGTCAAAATTACTGTCAAGTTTTTCCATGTTTTGCATATCTAAAATTTACAACCGCATAGACAGTAACAACAGAACAAGAAAAACTGCCAGCCAAATCCAATACATTTCTGTCTCTCAATTGAACAAGCCTTTTAGCTATTATGTTTTGTCAGAAAAATTGATGTGATGCTTTAAAATACATCCCAGCGCATCACAGAAAACACCACATAAAATATAAGTGAGCAAGAAAAACATGGCGAGTGAGAGCCATAACAGAGAAAAAGAAGATCGAAAACGGTGTAGCGACTCAAAATGGAATGAAGATTGAGGTTTTTTTTTTCTTTTGCACAATGAAACACATTTCATGTGTTTTATGTTGGAGAGATAGACGCGAAAAGTACACAGTTCAGTAAACGCACATCAGACTTCCCAGTGAAATGCTGACACCGACGAAAATAAGAGGCGAAAAAGAATAAAATGTATGCCGAATCCGGAGGAAAAACGAAGAAAAATGAAACCAACAACGCACAAAACAAACTAAATTATCATCATGAATATATAAAATTGTAATCATGTCAGTTTGGTTGGCACGTATATAATTTAAAATATTAAATATAAACATTAAAATATGAGGCGAAGCGAATTTATGTAAAACTCAAGTCAGGGGAACTTCGCAGGGAATATGTTGCACATGCTCTCACTCACATCAAGAAGCCAAATATGATAAAGTCATAGAATGTGTCATTTTTTTCATCTTTTTTTCATTCCTTCTTTTACAAAATAAAAACGAAAAATGTAAAATGTCTTGTTTCTTCTACAAATAACTCTCTCTCTCTCCCCCCCCCTCTCCCTCACTCAGCTTCCGACAGAGCTGTTATAGGCACCGAAAAAGTGCTGGCACCGAAATAGGTGCGCGCGCTCTTTATAAGTGCCGGCACCCAACACCATGTAATGTTCAAGTGCCGCACTCAATAATAATTTTTTTTGTATTTTGAAACATCAAAAATCACAAAAAATTAAAATTATTATAGTCTTTTCATTTTTCTAAAGTTTTTACACAGTTTGACTACGTCAATAATCAAATTCATTGTTGAAACGTCAAATTTTGAGAACTATCAAATTCAGTATACAAGTGCAGTCAAACCATGTGTTAATTTGAATTAGACAGTTCTCAAAATGTAAAACCTTTAAAAAAAATGAAAAAAACTAAAATAATTTTAATTTTTTTGTGATTTTTGATGTTTAAAAATACAGAAGAAAATATTAAGTGCGGCACTTGAACATTACATGGTGTTAGGTGCCGGCACTTATGAAGAGCGCGCGCACCTATTTCGGTGCCCGCTCTTTCTCGGTGCTTATAACAGCTCTGGCTTCCGAAGAGAAGCAAAATTCAACATTTTGCCTTAATCTACACACGTTCGTTGAATGAGAATCTTTTAAAATCCTTTAAAATACATGCAGAATTGCGAGCTGACATTGGAATCTTTTTGGCAGGCAACGTCTTCATGTTTTTAAAACACTGTGCATTTGCGAGTGACTTTTCGTTGATTCGAAAAGTATTTTGTGGATTTGAGAGATCGATTTCGTATCGCGAGTTGAATCAAAGCAGTAGCGAAAGGTATAACTTTGATTGCTAACGCCCTGCATGTCATGTTGAATGGATGAATTTCTCAAATCAAATTTTGTTTCTGTGTAGGCGCGCATAATCCCAAACGAAATCCATCTTGTGGATGCGAATGAGTGAGAATGCTCTTATCAGCTCATTTTTCTGAAAGGTTTCAATCCTTTTGTGGGGTTATGAATTGTGTACAAAGTCAAAATAAAGATATCAGACATGTGTAGTGCCATCATCATCATCATCATTGACGTCGATGGAATTGTCTGTGCTGCATTGATATCACTCCATGAGCTGAAGGTAGTGTAATGATGCGTACAAAATGTATGGATCACATGGATACATCGACCGAATGGAGTGAAAATATATGTGCGAGAAGTCAGGCCGAACGGTAGTAACGGCACTAAATAAATATGGTTGGCTAAGAGTAAGTACACTTGAGGAGCGAAAAATAAATTACGACCAATATGGAAATTCATATGCGAAATTCAAAAAAATTTCACCGCCATATTCCAGCCACGAATTATTTGATGTGTACACGCGTGAAATATGATAATATCAAATTTCACTCTATAAATTGTCACATATTCCGTATACATTCCGTGTACTGTGCACACAATGCACCCATAAAACATTTTATTAGATACGTAAATTTAACTCGTCGACTTTATAGCACCACAATAATCGTAATAATAATTATTCCTAGCGCTGTATTTTTATGTGTACGCCCATCCCGAATCAAACAACAATATGTGACAACAATCGCTTTATGGAATCGAATTCGAATTCGCTTGCAACATAAATGAATTTATGAGTTGGCAATCTTTCAAAGTGGGCTCGCGTCTTGGAACAATAGAGTCATTCGCGAAAACGGATGAGCCGATCTTAAGCATTCAGTGTTATTCGAAATATGTTTGCCATTTTTTGATGACAGTTTTGCATCTCATGTTTGTTTCCACATCATAATACTCCCAGAGTGACTTTAAACCGAAAACAAACTTTTTTTACGATCCATACACGTAATTGGAATCAAGTTGTGACGTATATATCCATCCGATGCTCTAATGAAACTGTCTACGAATGCATATATACACGATTTGTTTTTGTGTATCGAAAAAAAAAACGACAAATATATTATGCCTATGTAATAGACTAATCTATCCATTAGTCATTACACGTACTCCAATATGAAATATAAATCCTTTTGAAATGATGATCTACGTAAAGATTATTTTTCGTTTTCATTTATCTGAGTTGAATTTAGTGCATTGAATCCAATGCATGAAAAAAATGAAGTAGTTTAATTTGGCCCCTCTAATATTGATATTGGTATAAGCTCGATGAAAAGATGCGTATGGAATAATTTTGTTGTTTTCCAGCGCAGCAAAAAAAGGCAGATCATGTTTTTTTTTGTTTTGTGTTCTGCACACATTTACTATCGAAAAAAGCGCCTGCAGAGTGAATAAAAACCGAATTAGTTCAGCAAACACATGCTGTGGACTACAATATTTAGACAAATAAAATGCATATGATGCATGCTCGCTTACACTCGGTGCGCCGGCAAATCGGCTACGAGCAAATGTGTGTACTGCAAAGTTTCGCATCGCAAATAAGTGATAGGGGGAAAATTTAAGCGGATTTACGTCAAATTCACCCAACAACTTCATAAAAAAGTACCATAATTTTATTTATTTTTGCGTGCGCCTATAAAATTGCGCTGAACATTTGGATAAAGTAAAATTTATTGCTTTAAATAAAGACGAAAGGAAAAAGAGGAAAGAAAAAAAAATGCACATGCAAATGTCGTTTACTATCAGTGAAATGCCAGATCCAGCACAATTCTCTCTCCGTTTCATCGCGTCGGACCAATATTCATGAAAGTTTCTGTGTCTGAATTCGCGTATCAGCAACAGCTAAAGGCGGAATTATAACGGTAATAAAAGCAACCGAAACAGCCAAAGAGACAACAAGAAAACAACATTAGTACGTACGACCAAGCCCATTTTCGCAGTCGATCGAAACTAATAAAATATAATTTGCCTATAACTTGAATTCTTATTTAGATATATGGCATAGAATTTTGTTTTCATTTTATTTGCTTGTTGTTGCTCTAGTTATCGTTCGATGGTAAAATATTTCTTAGCACGTTGTACACGACTTATCGAACGGCTTCAGGATCGATACATTCGATGCTATTCATAATTCTGTTTACAGTCTGTGCAACGACCATATGGATGAACACATAAATAATTTCCAGTCGAAGCGTGGCGAATATTGAACTTCATGCGATATGTGTGCTCGTGCAGTGTGTTGTCCGGCGCTTTCTATGCCGAACCAGCGAAAACACATGATAAATAGAGAGAAAAAAAATGTATTGGGAATTGTGTGTTCTGTGCTACCATCGTCGCTGTTGTCGTTGCTGTTCAGCGCGCATTTTCGTTGCGTTCCATTTTTATGCGATTTCATTTTATTTTGTACTTACATAGTTTTGAATTAGATCCGGATGATTTGTTTGAATGCCGTCATCGAGAATGGAAACAACAACGCCTTTTCCTGTATACCCTTTTTGCCATGCTGGTGCTACGTTCATGTCGAGACCATCTTTGGCGCCACCGTTCTGCAAAGAAAATGAAAAAGACGAAACGACTATGATTATTCGGTGTGCTGCAAACAAGCCAAGTCAAATGCTAGAGCCATATAGACAAAGACATTGATACGAATGTGGAGTGAGTGCTATATATACATATAGTATACATGTACAGTACATTGATAGCATCTGTTTCATTATATTCTCCGTTCGATTGTTCCTACACGAAAGATGATTGTGTGTAATTCAGTATCGGCTAACCGGTCGTGGGAGGAAGGTGCTTTGGAAATCAATTTTTCATATTCAATAAAACGATATAAGGAAATGTTCTATTCGGCTTTAGCCGACTTCTAGACGAAAAGAAAGCTGTAGAAAACACCAGATGTGAATTATTCGTATGTCTATTGCCATATTATTGAGTTCACGGCGTTGGTTTATTAACATTATTAGTCTTTCATTTCTATATATAATACTTGTTCAGTTTGGCCATTTATCACACTTGCATCAGCCGAATCGAAATGTGTCTCACTGCGGATTCGTCTTTAATAATGATCAGTGATTGGAGGCAAACTCTGTGAATGAACGCAATATACTTGATTGTTTTACTGCATAATAATTTCGATACTGTTTTTGGCAATGTGCTCCCTATCGATGACTCTACAAATATCTTTCGAGCCTTTGAACCACCTCTAGTGAAGCAAAAATCTTTGCCCCATGAATAGAGTCAAGGCAAATGTATAGCGAAAAAAAAAATGTTTCATATAAATTAACTCGTGACAAGGGTTTTACTTTAGATTCAAAAGCGATATATTCTGCGTCTCTACATCATGACCCTCTCTAAACATCCAACAAGAGATATGTGGTATGTGTAAAGATACCACGAAATTAACTGTAAATGAATCGATTTACTTGCGTTGAGGCGACCGATGACATAAGCCCCGAACATTACATACGTACGATATGCCCCGCGACGGATGATAAGTATGTAAACTGTGTTACGCAATACACAACATATTCGATATTCGACACACTAAATGATAATTTATTGCGCCGCGCAGACAATCCAATTTACAATAAATATCGGAATTCATTGTATCATTGTGCCGAAATTGCTAAACAAATGGCTGGCAAATATTTTTAGCGTGCATTTTCACAACAACAAGCGCGCAAACGACAAGACGTAGGACGAAAATCGAATCAAGCGAGACATTATCAGAAACTTTGTTTTAAAATGCCAGAAAGAAGTGCGTACTGCCGCCAAATTTGACAACAACGTCATTTGACGGTTTACATTGTGGTGACGATGGAGAACAGCTTTCGGATGTCAAATGTTTATCATGCCATGAATTTGAGATAATGTCACGCAAAATGCTCATAACAATTAATTCCAAAGAAAAAATTGTCATATCGAATCTGCACACAGTTTCCGGACTGCCACTGGAAATGCTCTTCGACAGTATCTTCTTAGAAACATGAAAATAAAGCAACGCCCTGTATCAAATGTTGGTGCCACCTTTAATTCCGAAACTTTTCTTGATTGCCACACTCATCTCAATAACTCCCACATGGAAACGAAAAATTCCATAACTTTCGTACGATGAAATTCTTTGTGAAAATCTGTCTTGCGTAAAAATTCGGTCTGACTTGGTTCGTATTGATAACATTGCGCGAGTGAATGGGCAATATTTCATTAATTTTATCGGATATGAGAATGTCATTGCGACGCATTAATTCAAATTCCTTTGCATTTTTTTTCTCTACCGATTCATGTTCGGAGAACGGCGATATCGCTGGAAAAGGAGAAAGCAACATTTTTCCTCTGTCAATCTATCAGCCCACGAGTTATTTTTGAATTGTTTCGTCGTCAATGGAAAAATATCTAAAATTCGAATGCACTTCACCTAATCCTATTCTCCTGTCGAATCTGCTTGCGTCATCCCATACTTTTTTTTCAGTTTGACTCAAAAACACAGATCCTTTTTTTCGGCACTCGTTTTATCAACAAAGACATGAAAAACAGTCGTGTTTTCTTGAAGAAATTCATCCGAATAAAATCGGTTGAAGAAGAAATGATTCCGCATCTTAGGTCGAACAACTATTTGTCAACTGTCATCCTTTCTAAATCCTACAATGAAAAAGCATAACAGCGATAAGCTGTGTGCAACATAGAGCGTACCCGTAATTATACGTTTCATCGACTATGAAATATTTCTTTTTACGTTCACGCATGTGATAACTTCCCAGCGGAATTCGTTTTCTTTTTCGTACCAAAACAGTTCGCTTTACAAGCAATTTGCGTTCCTAGAAGACGATGTTTTCTTACAAACACTGATGAATAATAGATCCGTTCAAAGATCGTATCCGCCTATTTGGGTAACTTTACTCGCGACATACACCGAATGAGCTTCTGAGTTGCAGCGGAAGCGAGTGTGAGCGAGCAGGCGAGTGAATGAAGAAAATGCAAAGTGATCGATGGCCTGGAATAAGTAAAAAAAATCAATAGCATTGTTGGAACAAGTGTTGAATAAACAGAAGGTGTGACTACGTGTTTCCACTTTGATTGATTTAAATAGGTAGCTTTCCGAAGTGAAAATAATAGATGACTAAATAGAAATTCATCGAACAATACGCAAGTAACTGTTTGTTTTAGTGAGCTGCAAACCGGAAAATACAAATTTGAATCGTGTTCATTTTCCAAGCCTTACTACTTACTCATCACTTCGTCTTCGTGCATTCTATTCCCCCATTTGGAAAGCAAACAAAAAATTACAATGTTTTCCAATTGCATTTGAATGACCTCAAGTGGTGTCAGCAAAATTGATTGAATTCGGCGGAAAAAAAGGCGATCGGAAAATACCAGCTCTCTGTGCTCTCTCAGGCATGGTGTTTTTTTTTCGTGAACGAATAAAGTGGAATTGGTGACGAACGATTCAGCGAAAACGGGTGAAATACATTAAAATGTAAATTGACATCATTGGCAATGTTGGTTAAGTTCTTTTCAGACTCAGCACTTGAGCCCGCAGACACTACGATTTTCCGCTAGTTTTCTGTTCAATTTATTCGCAGCGAATTCTATTTGTCTTCTATGGTTTCCGGTTTTTTATTTGAGTAGTTGAGCAGGCGCGCGTAAAAAGGATCGAATTGGCAAAGAAAAAACACGATTATGACACATCGAATGGAAAAAGAAATTCCCACAAGACACAGGCAGGCAGCCAGACAAACGAACGAACGAACGAACGAACGAACGAACGAACGAACGATGAAAATGAATCCATTGGTACCGAGTAAGTGACACTTCAGTGCACGGGATCGTTTATTCAACTAATTTTCAATTTGTTGTGTAAGAAGTTTCGACTTGTTGTTTGCTCGATGGAAATACACTCGGCCTGAGATACGCTGAGGAAAATGAAGCTTTTTGTGCAATTGACAAACCCACAACAAACTTACTCACTGACAATATTACGTATTCCATTATCTATTGTGATGCAACACAGATTAGCCTGAGCATAAAAATCATGTGCGCCAACCAAACTCACCGCATTGACGACTGGCGTCGACCGTTGTAAAGATGAAGCTAAGATAAATTTCAAATTTAAATTAACTAACTTTCGATAAATCAGAACGGCAGTGTGTATGTGTATGTCTTTGTGACGCTAAATCCAAACTAAACACCGACATGATAGTTATCACAACTTTGGTTGGGAATTGGTGAAATACTGCCCAAGGACATGAATTCAAAGCTCTCCTGCTGCTGCTGCTGCTGCTGCTGCTTCCGAGAAATATGTTCTCCGCATGAAACTTTCATTAATTTGCATCTATCAATTCATTGTTCGACTTGGCAGTAAATTTCAGTTTACGTCGAGCATATTCATATATTTTTGAATTATTACAGAAGATCTCAATTAAACACTTGCATTGCAATTGAATGCACATACATTTCTGGTAGCCTCAAGAAGTTTTGCCAAATCAGTATTATTGTATGTCAGTGCGGAAATCTCTACAGGATTTGAACATTCGCATAGTGTTTAACTCTCGAATGTTCTATGTTTATGTGAAGAAACCACTGGCATTCTTGGCTTTTGCGTAAAATCAATTTCTTTTGATGCAGCTTTCCTTAATTACCATCACTGAACACAACTAGATCAACATGAACACAGATTCGGATTCACAACCGCAATGTTATTCAGTCAGGCAACCAGCTTGTTGTGCACATAAAACAGAACACTAATTTTCCATATCCCATGCGCACATTTTGAATGTGAATTGTACAGTGGAAAATTAAAATGCATTCGGCTTCGTAAATTCAAAGTAAGAGTGGATTTATCAAACGTGCGAATGCCATAAATTAATAAGTAAATGCACGGGTCCACTTCGTATTTTGCGGGATTTATTTCAGTTTGGAACTGAATGGACGCAAGATTTGAAAGTGAATTGTGGCCACTACTTCGCTTGGGTCATAAATGTTGATTTTGCATGCATCTTGTAGACTATTGCATTGTATACTCGTTATCATCGGCATTCGATCATGGAATAGTTCATTGAATCTGATCCGTTTATCTATTGTTCAGATCGGCTTCTTTGATGACTCTTCATATGCGGCTATTTTGAATAAAATAGAGCGTAGCCCATTTAGATCGATGGTTTTTCTAAGATTGCCAGCCAGACCGATTTCATCCAAAGGGCACAACATTTACAAATGCTACATTCAGCTTAACCTTTACTTTATTTGATACCCTTTGAACTCTGTCAATATGCGATAAAAAAATTGATAGAACTGAAAACTTGCATAGAAAAAAAACGGGAGAAATCACATAGAAATAAATCAATCTCTCTTTCCCTTTTGCAAGCGACTGCGTCGCCCGTTCGATTCATATTTGTCGCTTTTGAATTCAATACCTCAACGGTTGGCGGTGCCACTGCAGGCGATGGATTCACATCGTGTTTGGAACGAGCACATGAACTTTTCTGATACAGTGATAAAAACGAATCCAACGGAACAGAACTCACACTTGATTCGCAACGTTACTACC